GTTGGATTCCCCATTTGGCTGCCTTGCGCTCACTTGCACAACCTCCACCATCTCTGGAGGCGGCAGGGGGTGTGCATACAAAACACACAAATACACACACCCCTTACTTCCAAGGGGCTGAGACTATTGCATCTGCTTGGCTGCTTTGCACCCACGGTGTCGTGCATACAAAACAAACACACACAGACACACACTTCCAAGGGCTTGAGACTATTGCATGTGCACACAACACAAATGCACAGGCACACAACCTTCCAAGGGCCCGAGACTTGCATGTGCATACAACACAAACGCACAGACACACAATCTTCCAAGGGCCTGAGACTTGCATGTGCACACAACACAAACGCACAGACACACAATCTTCCAAGGGCCTGAGACTTGCATGTGCACACAACACAAACGCACAGACACACAATCTTCCAAGGGCCCGAGACTTGCATGTGCATACAACACACACACAGGCACACAAACAACCTTCCAAGGGCCCGAGACTATTTATTTATTTATTTTTAAATTTGTATACCGCCCTTCTCCCTGAGGACTCAGGGCGGTGAACAGCCAAGTAAAAGCATAAACTACAAACATTAAAGTACAATTAAAAAGATATATATAAATTTGGCCCCATGATTAAAAACAATAGCAAACAATTAAAAACATTTTTAAAAGTGTTAGGCCAGCCCACCCCTACTGCACGTGCATACAACACACATACACACAAACACACAACTTTCCAAGGGCCCGATACAACACACACACAGACAGACACACACACACAACCTTCCAAGTGCCTGGGACTATTGCACATGCATACAACACACACAGATAGGCGCACACACAAATCCTTCCAAGGGCCCGAGACTATTGCACATGCATACAACACAGACACACACACAAACACACAACTTTCCAGGGGCCCGAGACTATTGCATGTCCATACAACACACACACACACACACAAAACCTTCCAAGGGCCCGGGACTATTGCATGTCCATACAACACACACAACACACAACTTTCCAAGGCCCGAGACTATTGCACATGCATACAACACACACACAGACACAGACAGACACACAACCTTCCAAGTGCCCGGGACTATTGCACGTGCATACAACACACACACAGACACACACACAAATCCTTCCAAGGGCCCGGACTATTGCATGTGCATACCACACACACACACACAAACACACAACTTTCCAAGGGCCCGGGACTATTGCACATGCATACAACACACACACAGACACAGATAGACACACAACCTTCCAAGGGCCCGGGACTATTGCATGTCCATACAACAGACACACACACACACAACTTTCCAAGGGCCCGAGACTATTGCACATGCATACAACACACACACAAACACACAACCACACAACCTTCCAAGGGCCCGAGGCTCCTGCCCTTCCCCGCCGCGCTGCTCTGCGCCCACCTGCAAAAGCTCCAGGATCTCGAAGACGCGGTTGGCGCACCGGCGGCTGCCCAGCGCCTCCTCCAAGCAAGCGGCCAGCCGCATTTCGGCTTCTCTCTCGCCCGCAGCCTCCGCCATAGCCCCGAGCTCCAGAGCTTCCCTCGCCGGACCGCGGCTGCTGCCCCACGTGCGCGGAAGGAAGCCCCGCCAGGCGCCGCCTTGCCCACCGGCTCCTCCTCCTCCTCCTCCTCCTCCCCGGGGTTGCCAAGGAGTTGCAACCCAGCGCTCCCGGGCGCCCTTGCAAATCAATGCCTCGCCTGGCTCTTGGAGGTGGGGGGCGGGGAGAGTGAGGCTTTGGGGATGGGGGGCTTTGGGTGAGTTATGTGGGGCTCGGGAAAAGACCCGAGGGGAGGGGAGGGGAAATATTGGGAGCGTGGGAATGTAGCACATCTGGCTGGGCAAAAGAAAAAACAAAAACCAGTCCTTCCTAAAGGGGCATCGCCTATTGCTCCCCCTGGTCTCTTCCCCCCCCGCTATATATTATTAAAACTATTTATTAAAACATCATCAAAAAAAAGCCCAACAGAGAATGTTCTTTCTGCACCAACTCAGAAAGCTCAACTTGTCCAAGGAGCTGCTGATCCAGTTCTACAGAGGAATTATTGAGTCTGTCATCTGCACCTCCATAACTGTCTGGTTTGGCTCTGCCACCCAACAAGAGAGACAGAAACTTCGGAGGATCATTAGAACTGCAGAAAAAACCAATTGCTACCAACCTGCCTTCCGTTGAGGACCTGTATCCTGCACGAGTCAAAAAGAGGGCTGGGAAATATCTACAGACCCCTCGCATCCTGGACATCAACTGTTTCAACTCCTACCCTCAAAACGACGTTATAGGGCACTGCACACCAGAACAACTAGACACAAGAACAGTTTTTTCCCCAAACGCCATCACTCTGCTAAACAAATAATTCCCTCAACACTATCAAACTATTCACTAAGTCTGCACTACTATTAATCTTCTCATTGTTCCTATCACCCATCTCCTTCCACTTATGACTGCATGACTGTAACTTTGTTGCTTGTATCCTTACGATTTATATTGATCGTTTCCTAGTATGATTTGATTGCATATTTGTTCCCTATGACTATCACTAAGTGTTGCACCTTATGATTCTTGACGAATGTATCTTGTCTTTTTATGTACACTGAGAGCATATGCACCAAGACCAATTCCTTGTGTGTCCAATCACACTTGGCCAATAAAGAATTCTATTCTATTCTATTCTATTCTATTCTATTCTATTCCATACCATTCTGCTTTCTTATTCTATTCTATTCTATTCTATTCTATTCTATTCTATTCTGCTTTCTTATTCTATTCTATTCTATTCTATTCTATTCCATACCATTCTGCTTTCTTATTCTATTCTATTCTATTCTATTCTATTCTATTCTATTCTATTCCATACCATTCTGCTTTCTTATTCTATTCTATTCTATTCTATTCTATTCTATTCCATTCCATACCATTCTGCTTTCTTATTCTATTCTATTCTATTCTATTCTATTCTATTCTATTCTGCTTTCTTATTCTATTCTATTCTATTCTATTCTGCTTTCTTATTCTATTCTATTCTATTCTATTCTATTCTATTCCATACCATTCTGCTTTCTTATTCTATTCTATTCTATTCTATTCTATTCTGCTTTCTTATTCTATTCTATTCTATTCTATTCTATTCCATACCATTCTGCTTTCTTATTCTATTCTATTCTATTCTATTCTATTCTATTCTATTCTATTCCATACCATTCTGCTTTCTTATTCTATTCTATTCTATTCTATTCTATTCTATTCCATTCCATACCATTCTGCTTTCTTATTCTATTCTATTCTATTCTATTCTATTCTATTCTTTTCTTATTCTATTCTATTCTATTCTATTCTGCTTTCTTATTCTATTCTATTCTATTCTATTCTATTCCATACCATTCTGCTTTCTTATTCTATTCTATTCTATTCTATTCTATTCTATTCTGCTTTCTTATTCTATTCTATTCTATTCTATTCTATTCTATTCTATTCTATTCTATTCCATTCCATACCATTCTGCTTTCTTATTCTATTCTATTCTATTCTATTCTATTCTATTCTATTCTGCTTTCTTATTCTATTCTATTCTATTCTATTCTGCTTTCTTATTCTATTCTATTCTATTTATTCTATTCTATTCTATTCCATTCCATTCCATTCCATTCCATTCTACAATAAGAACGGATACAAACCAAACTGGAACAGAGGAAACGAAATATGTATTTTTAAAAAATTCTTCTGTTTAAACATTCCCCCAAGGCTGATGGGGAAACATGGAATGAGGTAGTCCTCGACTTACAACAGTTCAAAGTTTAGCCACCATTCGAACTTACAACGGCGCTGAAAAGATGGAACATATGACCGTTTTTCACACTTATGACCGTGGCAGCATCTTTCATTTTTTCACACTTAGGACCGTCACAGGAGCCAAACTCAGATGCTTGGCAACTGGCTATTTGTATTGATGACCTTTGCGGTGCCCTGGGGTCTGGTAATCCCCCTTTTGCGACCTTCCGACAATGGGGAAACCAGATTCGCTTAACAACCGTGTTACTAATTTAACAACTGCGATGATTCACTTAACAATGGTGGCAAGAAAAGTCGTAAACTAGGGCAAAACTCAACTCACCTAACGTAATTTATCAATTTAGCAACATAAATTCTGGGCTCAGTTGTGGTTGTAAGTTGAGGACTACCTGCATTTTTAAAATTCTTCTCTTTAAACTTCCTTCAAGGCTGATGGGGAAATAGAGTGGTACCGGTGGCCTAGAGGTGAAGCTCTCACCTCACAATCAGGAGGCTGTGAGTTCGATCCTAGATAGAGGCAGATATTTCTTTCTCTGGGCACGATGAGAATATATCAGCTGAACAAAATTCCGCATTGGCGACAGGAAAGGCATCCGGCCAGTAAACACTCAGCTCCATTCAGTTGCCCAGACTCCACCCCACAAGGGATTATGGGGTCTTTAGATAATGATGATTGGGATGTGGTGGCTCAGTGGCTAAGATGCTGAGCTTGTCAATCAAAAAGTCGGCAGTTCAGTGGTTCGAATCCTAACGGGGTGAGCTCCCGTGACTTGTCCCAGCTTCTGCCAACCTAACAGTTTGAAAGCACGTTAAAAAAAAAATGCAAGTAGAAAAATAGGGACCACCTTTGGTGGGAAGGGAACAGCGTTCCGTGCACCTTTGACGTTGAGTCATGCCGGCCACATGACCACGGAGACGTCTTCGGACAGCACTGGCTCTTCGGCTTAGAAACGGAGATGAGCACCGCCCCCTAGAGTCGGGAACAACTAGCACATATGTGCTAGGGGAACCTTTACCTTTAGATGATGATGATGATGAAGGCTGATGGGGAAATATGGGAATAAGCAGTTGGGGAGTGGTTTTTTTTCCCCTCTTAAGTCTGCAAAGCTGGAAAAGTTTCAACACAATTAAAAAATTTACATTGTGAGGATGATAAGGTGGCAAGAACAGACCTGTTTTGATCGGCACGGCTGATTTATTAAAAAAACTTCCAAGATTTTAGGCTCCCATCTCCCTAAATGTCAGAGTGGGGGAGGCCAGATGAGACAAAACACACTTCAGGTACGCACAGTTACAAGAATGTTATAAAAATGTACACTTTTAATACACTTTCAGGTAAGATACAACACAAATCCTTCCAATCCTACAGCCAAAAGTACAAATTATTTTTATCTTCATAAAGGTAATTTACAAGTCAGTTTTACCAAGGGGAGAAAGGAAGGAAGGGGCAATCAGAAATGTGGAACCACCGAATTAGCATTTTTTTTTTCCCCGTGAAAAATCAAGACACGGAAATCGTGCACGTTTTTTTCCGTTGAAATCAGACATACTCGAAAGCCAGCACAGTGAAATTGAAATTGGTGATGTTACTTTATGCGTACAGAGTTCATTTTACAGCGGTGTTCCCTTTAACCTCAGTAACATTAAGCGGGGTTGAACTTCTAACTCCCACAATTTCGCAGCCGGTTGGCTGGGGAATTCTGGGAGTTGAAGTCCAACCCCGCTTATGGTTGCTGAGATTAAGGAAGAGGGATTTATAGCCTTGTGTACAGACGTAAGATTTTAGCATATTTGGGGAGCAAAATTAGTTTTGACTGGTAGATTTGCATGGAAGGTGGGAAGGAGAGCGAGAGGACTCTTTAAGGTGGGGGCCCTAATTTGCCAAGATCCCACTCTTGTAGGGGTACTCGAGGCCAAACAGCTCCCCCCAAATATCTTGGTTTTTTTCAAATGAATTATATCACTCCCTAACGGCTCCTTCTCAGAAACTTAACTGATAAAATACAAGTCTATGGTATGAAATAGGTTTTGGGTAAAAGAACTTCAACGATGTCTACCTTCCTTTATGTAGAAAGGTTTTTATTTATTTATTTTTTTAATTTTAAAAAGCATACCTTTTTTTGAAAAAAAAAAAAAACGAGGCTCCAAAATAGAAAGGATACGGCGTTTAGAAGAGCAAAAAGGCAACAACAAAAGGGGTAAGAAATTGTGCTTGTTCGAAAGAGCAGAGATGACAAAGTTAGGTGGCCAGCACTGATCTCAACTTGGGAACATCTGGAGGTAGGACAGATATCTGTATTGTCCGGAAGTTTGGCATGAGTGCCAGTATATAAGTTAGTATGGGAGGAGGAGGAGAAAAGGAGGAGGAGGAGGAGGAGGAAAAAGGAGTGGGAGGAGGAAGAGGAGGTAGAGGAGGAGGAGAAGAAAAGAAGGAGGAGGAGGAAGGGGGAGGAGGAGGAGGAAGAAGAATTAGAAGAAAGGAGAAAGAAAGAAAGAAAGAAAGAAAGAAAGAAAGAAAGAAAGAAAGAAAGAAAGAAAGAGAAAGAAAGAAAAAGAACGAAAAGAAAAGAAAAAAGAAAAAAAAAGGAAGAAAAGGTTTGTTTCAAACAACCGAAGGTCTGAAAAATACCTCTGTTGTTTTGGTGTTGATAGAAAAAGAAATAATAATAAGTTGCCTGAATATCTCTCCTCTATCCCTCTGAAATGGAAACACAGCTGAACTTTTAAAACAAGACCGCAAAGCGAAAAGGGCCAAAACCAATGCTGGAAACTTGTAAGTTAAATTTCCTTCAGCGTGGAAGCCCCACTAAAATAAAAAAAACCCACAAGAACAGAACATTGGACGAGCAATAAAACATGTTTTTTTGTTTGTTTTTTTTTCTTCTTCCACCCATGAAAAAGGGGCTGAGAATGGTGGGCGACGATGAAATACACTTACTGTCACATAATATTAATACCTTTTTTAAAAAAAAAAAGACCGACCAACCAACCAACCAACCAATTACGTGTTAGCACACTGAATATCTGAAACCGTGAAAAAGGGAAAAGCGGAAGCTTAAAACGAAGAGTTTCTCTGTACAAAAGAAGGAAAGAACGCACGCACACACATACGCAACAAGCACAAAGACCGAATTAAGCGAAACAGTAAGCAAAACGCCTGACACCCCACCCACCCCCACAAACCAACGTGCCACAAGTTAATGTTTGTTTGTTTGTTTGTTTAAAAAAGGCTCAAACCTCTCCCCACCCCACCCCACCCAAAAAAAACCCCGGTGACTGAAATATGATGCATAATTACAGATACTTACAAAATCTTCACATTTGTCAGCTCAACGGAGCAGGGAGTGCTTTGGACCAGGGGGTCCCCAACCTTGGCGACTTTTAAGCCTGGAGGACTTCAACTCCCAGAATTCCCCAGGGAATTCTGGGAGTTGAAGTCCACCAGGCTTAAAAGTCGCCAAGGTTGGAGATCCCCTGCTTTGGACAAAACTTTCTGTCCTACCCACCCACCCCCCACCTCCCCCCTTGGATAAGCGAGGCCCGGACAATGTCCGGCTTTGCACCCCACAAAGATTTTCCCCATCGGACAGGGGTGACGATAACGACCGGCGTTGCTACCCACACAACAACTGGAGAAGCAACTTTGGGGTTTCCACCGAAAGGGCAGTGAGCGTCTCGGCGAGCGGTCGGGCTAACGGAGGAGTTCGGGGAAAAAAATGGCATTTCCTCGGGAGTTGCATTTCAAAATCTTTCCACGAATCTGTCCGGGAAGCAGAGACGTCTGGAGGAGAGCAGGGAGAAAACAGCCCTGGAAGTTTCGCAGGAGAGACGCCTGATTTCCGATCTCGCTGGATGGGAGGCCACCTAGAGAGCTCTCTCTCTCTCTCCTTCTCCCTCTCTCTCTCTCCTTCTCCCTCTCTCTCTCTCTCCCCCCCTGGCTTGCCGCCATGAAAAGGTGAAGGACTCAGCTGGGTTTGTTCGGAGCCTTTAACCGGACAGGCGCCCTCATTTGCACTTTCGTTGGCTGACTCTGCCCGTCGGGCGGGGCGGGCGCCTGGGCAGGGTTCGGCACGACCGAGGCTTGGATCTGCGGGGAGGCGGTGGTTACCACTTGCTGTTGGATCAGTTTCTGGGGGACGACTTGAGCCGTGGCGGTGGTGGCTGGGATGACCTGGACTTGGTGTTGCCCCGCTGTGGTCTGAGACAAGGTGACCGTTTGGGGCTGAGCTTGAACCTGGTGGGGGGGGGGGAGGGAGGGAGAAAGCAAAGAGAAGTCAGGGAAGGCAACCTGGCTCAAGTGGCTAAGACGCTGAGCTGGTCGATCAGAAAGGTCGGCAGTTCGGTGGTTCGAATCCTTAGTACAGGTCTCCTGCGTGAGCAAGGGGGTTGGACTAGATGACCTCCAAGGTCCCTTCCAACTCTGTTACTGTGGGTACAGGGGGAGGCTTCATTTCCCTACAAGCTAAGGTAAATAGAAGAAATAGGATAACAGTGTTGGAAAGGGACCTAGTCCAACCCCCTGCTTAGGCAGGAAACCCTACACCACTTCAGACAAATGGTTGTCCAACATCTTCTTAAAAACTTCCAGTGTTGGAGCATTCACAACTTCTGGAGGCAAGTTGTTCCACTGATGAATTGTTCTAACTGTCAGGAAATTTCTCCTTAGTTCTAGGTTGCTTCTCTCCTTGATGAGTTTCCACCCGTTGCTTCTTGTCCTGCCCTCAGGTGCTTTGGAGAAGAGCTTGACTCCCTCTTCTTCGTGGCAGCCCCTGAGATATTGGAACATTGCTATCATGTCTCCCCTAGTCTTTCTTTTCATTAAACTAGACATACCCAGTTCCTGTAATCGTTCTTTGTATGTTTCAGCCTCCAGTCCCCTAATCATCTTTGATGCTCTTCTCTGCACTCTTTCTAGAATCTCAACATCTTTTTTACATCCTGGTGACCAAAACTGGATGCAGGATTCCAAGTGTGGCCTTACTAAGGCCTTATGAAGTGGTATTAACCCTTCACATGATCTTGATTCTATCCCTCTGTTAATGCAGCCTAGAACTGTGTTGGCTTTTTTGGAGGCTGCAGCACACGACTGGTTCATATTTAAGTGATTGTCCACCAGGACTCCAAGATCCCTCTCACAGCTACTGCTATTGAGCGAGGTGCCACCTATACCGTACCTGTGCATTTGGTTTTTCTTGCCTAAATGTAGATACTTGGGGTGTGTTTCGGTTTCAGCAAATGCATTGGGGCGTAAAGTTGTGGCATTCTTGAGGAACAGATGCTTGGCTTTTAAACACGAATGACAGAGTTGGAAGGGGAACTTGGAGGTCTTCTAGTCCAACCCCCTTCTCAAGCAGGAGGCATTATAGGTTGACTCAGCCTTCCATCCTTCCGAAGTGGATAAAATGAGGAGCCAGATTGTTGGGGGCAATAGGCTGACTTTGTAAACTGCTTAGAGAGGGCTATAAAGCACTACAAAGCGGTATATAAGTCTAAGGGCTAGTGCTATTATAATATCCCAGACAAATGGTTGTCCAACATCTTCTTAAAAGCTTCCAGTGTTATACGAACACATGTGGTATGGATGTCGTAAAGTGAAGAATTTTTGGTTACAAATAGAAGAAGAATCTAGTAAAATAATTAAAAAGAAGGTAAAATTGGGAGTAGATACCATCCTCATATTAAAGTTGAATGACAAGGTGTTAAAAATTGATGAAAGAGAGCTTGTAAGGATATTGGTCATTATGGGACGAATTGTGATTGCAAGATACTGGAAATTGAATATTGAATACAAAATAAATGAATGGTTCAGAGAAGTTTGGAAAATTGCTCTTAATGATAAGTTAACGTGTGATATAAAATTCAAAAAAGGACTATTGAAAGAAAATATATTTTGGAGGATATGGCAACCATTTGTGGACTACACAATCGGGAACTTGGAAGAAATAATGCCAGTGCCAATGCAAAGAGAATTTTGGAAGACCTGAAGATGAAGAAAAAATTCCTTTGCTTCTCCCTATTTTGTATTATACATTGGGTGTGGTTTTGTGTTTAATTAAAAACTTTAAAAAATAAAATAAAATAAAAAAGCTTCCAGTGTTGGAGCATTCACAACTTCTGGAGGCAAGTTGTTCCACTGATGAATTGTTCTCACTGTCAGAAAATTTCTTAGTTCTAGGTTGGATCTCCTCCTTTTAAAAAAATCCCAGTGGACTTGCTTTTTGTTTCCTCTTTTTGCAAATTTCAACTTCCCCTCTCTACCTTCTCTTATTTTCATTGTGTGTTGAAAATGGCTTTGCAAGGAGAAGCCGACCAGTAAATCCTGCAGGCCTACCAGCAGGGGTTCACGCGGATGGACAACTAGGAGTTGCTTCAAAGCAACATCTGGAGGACTGCAAGATTTCCATCCACGGTGGATCGGATGAACATAGCTTTGAAATGTATTTGAATATCAGTTACTCAGGTTGGTAGTTGGGCTGTTGGGCTGAGCTCCGAGCTTGGCCATTTGGTTGCAAACGTTTCGTCACCGTTCGAGGAGACATCGTCCGCACGCCTTTGAGTCGTGCTCGTCTGTCAGTGCAGGGGCCTTGTGCACGAGAACAACTCAAAGCGCACTGACGATGTCTCCTTGAATAGCAATAGCACTTAAGATTTATATAATGCTTCACAGTGCTTTACAGCCCTCTCTAAGCGGTTTGCAGAGTCAGCCTCTTGCCCCCAACAATCTGGGTCCTCGTTTTACAGACCTCGGAAGGATAGAAAGGCTGAATCAACCTTGAGCCAGTCAGGATTGAACTGCTGGCAGTGGGCAGAGTTAGCCTGCAATTCTGCATTCTAACACTGCACACCATAGAAGGAAGGAAGGAAGGAAGGAAGGAAGGAAGGAAGGAAGGAAGGAACCACTATGTACAATGGATGGATAGGTAGATAGATGGATGGATGGATGGATGGATGGATGGATGGATGGAAGGAAGGAAGGAAGGAAGGAAGGAAGGAAGGAAGGAAGGAAGGAGCGCCACTGTGGCTCATGAATGGTGATGAAATGTTTGCAACCAAATTGCCAAGCCTGGAGCTCCAACCAACAGCCCGAAAATAGATTTGCCTCGAGCGGTTGGTCTAATGTGGGGCAATTTTAACGCCTTTCTGAGAAAGATGAGACTGCCATCACACTAAGCTTCGAGATCACAGCTGCCTTCTGTGAGGAAGCTGCTTCCAGACAGGGCACACCTGGAAGAGGCAACAGGTTCTTGAAAACCTTACCTGTTGGGAAACCGAAACCACCTGCTGGATGTTAGCCACCGCTGTTTGTTGGGAGACCACCTGTGGGATCTTGGCCACCTTTAAGAACAAGATATTAGGATGTGTGAGAGCGGGGTTGGAGGGCGCGCAATTCAACAACATACAGCAGGTGGATTTGTCTTCCGTCAAGCCAAGCCAAGCCAAGCCAAGCCAAGCCAAGCCAAGCCAAGCCAAAGCCAAGCAAGCCAAGCCAAGCCAAGCCAAGCCAAGCCAAGCCAAGCCAAGCCAATGTTTATTACAAAGACTAGAGACCTTGTCTTCCATCAGTTTTATGTGCAAACCTGGTCCATGGGTTCTTACAGGTTGTCCTTGATTTACGACTGGTTGTTTAGTGCCCATTCAAAGTTACAGCGGCCCCTGAAAAAGGGACTTACGACCCAGATCTGAAGTTCCGATGGCCACCCTCTCTTTCCCCCAAAAGAGCCATGTGACCACATTTTGGGCGCTTAGGCAACTGACCCGTGTTTTCAGCTGTTTGCAATCACGTGACCTCAATTCAGGGGTGAAATCCAACAGGTTCTGACAGGTTCTGGAGAACCGATAGCGGAAATTTTGAGTAGTTCGGAGAACCGGCAAATACCACCTCTGGCTGGCCCCCGAGTGAGGAGGGAATGGAGATTTTGCAGTATCCTTCCCCTGCGGCGCCCACCAAGCCACGCCCACAGAACCGGTAGTAAAAAAAAAAATTGAATTCCACCACTGCCTCAACTGATGACTTTTTTTTAGGGTAATCAGTATTTGATTCTGCTTTCCAGTTTAAAAAAAAACCCTCATGTATTTAATAATGGCTTCGCAAAATGACTGCGCCGTTCATGTTACAACCGTCACAAAAAAAAGGGGGGGCATTTACGCACAGTGGGCATTTACACACAATGACCTGCTTGGCAACCGTCACAACTTAACAACCATAATTGCGAGCCAAAGTGCCGTCGAAAGGCTGCCTTGCATGCGCTTGGGGGTTGGATGGAAATGTTGAGAAAGCAGCGAAGAATCCAAGCGGAAGTTTTCCGCGGTTTCCTTCTCCTTCCCACCCACCCACCCACCCCCGAGGAATGAAATGAAGCTGGGGTGCCTCTTTACCTGTATTTGGGTCTGGACCTGCTGCGCACCCCCTGACTTCTGGGGCTGAGAAATCGGCGTCGGTAGGAATTGGGCTTTGATGGCCGGCTGGGTGGCGTAGACTTTCTGCTGCTGAGACGCTGGCTGCTGGGTCTGGACCGTGACCTGCTGGGAATTGATCCGGTGACCATCCAGGAACGGAGGGTTATGATGGGTGTCACTCTAGACCAGGGATGGGCAAATGTGGCTCTTTTACAACCTGTGGACTTCAACTCCCAGAATTTCTGAGCCAGCTTGGCTGTCTCAGGAATTCTGGGAGTTGAAGTCCACAGTGTCAGCGTTCCAGCGCTGACATATGAAAAGGAGAGGAGAAGCTTGAACTTTTGCCTACTTAATTCCTTTGAAGATTCTGTCTCCTCGGAGATGGGAGGGGGGGGGACACATTCCTGTGATCTGATGGAGATGGGATGAGGAGAGTGGCTTGGAAGATAGCCAATGAGACGCAGAGAATTGGGGATCGGAAAGGGAGGGCTTGGGGGGCAAAGGTCAGTGCTGACTGCGAAAGAGCCAGGGGCAGATCACTATGCTCAATAAAGAGAAAATTTCCTCAAAGATCGGCAGTTTGGAAATTCATTTATTTTGAGATAGCATCGAAACCTGACACACAGGTTGTAAAAGAGCCACATTTGCCCACTCCTGGTCTAGAGTCTTGCAGATTTTCTTGCAGACATTTCATTACCCAACTAGGTAACATTATCAGTGCTGGAAGGAAAAGGTGTTTGAGGAGAAGGAGGAGGGAGACTGACCTTCTGTTGAACACCTGCCTGTCCTTGGGCCACCTGTGGCTGGATGACCTTCTGCTGGGCTGCCTGGTGGTGCTGAGCTTGTTTCACCTTCAGAAACTGTTGGACGTGGAGCGGCTGAGCCATCACTGCCTGCCCTCCTGCTCAGGATGCAAAGAAGAGATGTCAAAACAAGCCACTTTTTTCAGGGCTCTTTTAACTTCGAACGGTCACTAAACAAATGGTTGTAAGTGGAGGATTACCTGTCCATCTTTTTTTATTTAATTTTTTTTGAGTGGCAAGCCGCTCATTGATTCATTGACTGGGCGGCTACAAAAATTGGATGAACAAACGATTCAGCTAAACGAAAAAAAAACACCTCGGCCCCATTTTCCATCCAAATCCTTTCCGACCCAATTACCTGCTGCTTTCTGCGGCTGCCCAATCGCCACGCTGATTCCGGAGACGGTAACGGGGAGGGCGGTCACCCCTGCCGACGACACCACCGGGACGGACATCACGGGCGGCTTGGTCAAAGCCACTTGGGCTGCTTGAGGCGTCTGACCTGGGATCTGGCTTTGGGCTTGGAGCTGAGAAGCAGCTACACGCGTCTAAGCAGGAAGGAAGCGGGATGATTGGACAGGTGCAAAGCAAGAGGCGGGGCAACTGGGGCCGTCTAGTCCAGGCGTGTCAAATGCAAGGCCCGGGGTCTGGACCCGGCCTGCAATGTGGTTGGATCTGGCCCGCGAACCGTCCTAGAAAATGTAAGGGGTCGGCCAGGGTGGCTTCGGACCAGTCTACCCAATGCTAGTGTTGTGGTCCGCCAGCAGCCTGTGGAGCTGAACAGTGAGGAGGCTGAGGAAGAACATGGGCCAGTCCTGGAGTCTGGGGAAGGCTCGGATGAGGGCTCTGCGTCAGAGGGAGAGATGGGGCCAGGGCCATCTGGGAGTGATGCGCGGACTCCGGAGCCTCCAGAGGCAGATAGCAGAGAGGCAGAGGAACAGGAGGAGCCTGTTCCTAGTGCAGGCATGCACAGAGCTGCCAGAAGGCAAGAGCAGCTAAAGCAAAAAGGACGACTCAGGAGTAAGGCCAGGAGATGATTGGCCCCTCCCATAAGGCTTAAAACAGACCAGCAAGGGCTCTTGAGCTCTTTGAAGGAAAGTAACATTGCTACATTTGCTTCTTGTCAGCATCTCTTGCTTCTGAACTTTTGCCAAGAAAAGCCTCTGGCAGGGTGCCAAAAGAAGACAAAGGTTGATGATAAGGCCGAAGGAGTGTTTACAAAGGATTTGTTTTGGAATTAATTTGAACTAAGCTGAGAATGAAGTAATTCTCAGCTGTTCTAATAAAATATGTTCGTTTAGGGCTGATCACAACCGCTAAGAGGAAACATGCCAGCAGTTTGGGGAGTGGCGTCAAGCTGGCCACGCCCACCTGTCAGCTACACCTATTGAGTAGCTTCAAGCTGGCCACGCCCACCCAGTCAGCTACGCCCATTGACTGGCTTCAAGCTGGCCACGCCCACTCAGTCAGCTACGCCCATTGAGTGGCTTCAAGATGGGCACGCCCACCCAGTCAGCTACGCCCACTGACTGGCTTCAAGCTGGCCACGCCCACCCAGTCAGCTACGCCCAGAGTGGCTTCAAGATGGCCACGCCCACCTAGTCAGCTACGCCCATTGACTGGCTTCAAGCTGGCCATGCCCACCCAGTCAGCCACGCCCATTGACTGGCTTCAAGCTGGCCACGCCCACCCAGTTGGCCACACCCACCCGGTTGGCCATGCCCACCTGCCCCCCCCCCTCTTGAGGTCAATCACAGCCCTGATGCAACCCTCAATAAAATTCTAAAAATCTTAATGAGATGAGTGAACAAAAGGAGAGACACTTTAGGGAGAACGGTCTGTCCTCTGAGACCCAGCGAAACGCTGGACCACCCTGGGAAGGTGAAGGGGGTCACTCACCAACCGGGCTACTTGGAGGCCGGTGACCGTGGTGCCAGCCAGGACTGCGCTTGGCCTGGAGGCGGCTACCGCCGTGAGCTGCTGCGTCTGTTGTTGTTGCACCTGGACCTGGGCTGCCTGTTGTTGTTGCGCACCGGGGGCTCCCTGAGGCTGGGAGGTTTGTTGTTGCATTGCTTGCATCTTCTGCTTCTGGAACTTGATGAGCTGCTCCTGGTGGGTGGAAGCCGAAGCCCCCAAAGAAGGTAAATTGCCAACTTCTTGTAGGGTTTCCCTCAGTGGTGGAATTCTATTTTTTTTTTACTACCGTTCTGTGGGCGTGGCTTGGTGGGCGTGGCAGGGGAAGGATACTGCAAAACCTCCATTCCCACCCCGCTCCAGGTGAAGGATACTGCAAAATCCCCATTCCCTGCCCCACTCCAGGGGAAGGATACTGCAAAATCCCCATTCCCTCCCCACTCCAGGGGAAGGATACTGCAAAATCTTCATTCCCTGCCCCACTCCAAGGGAAGGATACTGCAAAAGCTCCATTCCCTGCCCACTCCAGGGGAAGGATACTGCAAAAGCTCTATTCCCACCCCACTCCAGGGGAAGGATACTGCAAAATCTTCATTCCCACCCCACTCCGGGGGAAGGATATTGCAAAATCCCCATTCCCTCCCCACTCCAGGGGAAGGATACTGCAAAATCTTCATTCCCACCCCACTCCAGGGGAAGGATACTCTGCAAAATCTCCATTCCCTGCCCACTCCAGGTGAAGGATACTGCAAAATCCCATTCCCTCCCACTCCAGGGAAGGATACTGCAAAATCTTCATTCCCACCCCACTCCAGGGGAAGGATATACTGCAAAATCTCATTCCCAATCCCCACTCCAGGGGAAGGATACTGCAAAATCTCATTCCCTGCCCACTCCAGGGAAGGATACTGCAAAATCCCCATTCCCTCCCTCCACTCAGGAAGGATACTGCAAAATCTCATTCCCTGCCCCACTCCAAGGGAAGGATACTGCAAAAGCTCCATTCCCTGCCCACTCCAGGGGAAGGATACTGCAAAAGCTCTATTCCCACCCCACTCCAGGGAAGGATACTGCAAAATCTTCATTCCCACCTCACTCCTGGGGGAAGGATATTGCAAAATCCCCATTCCCTCCCCACTCCAGGGGAAGGATACTGCAAAATCTTCATTCCCACCCCACTCCAGGGGAAGGATACTGCAAAATCTCCATTCCCTGCCCCACTCCAGGTGAAGGATACTGCAAAATCCCCATTCCCTCCCCACTCCAGGGGAAGGATACTGCAAAATCTTCATTCCCTGCCCCACTCCAAGGGAAGGATACTGCAAAAGCTCCATTCCCTGCCCACTCCAGGGGAAGGATACTGCAAAAGCTCTATTCCCACCCCACTCCAGGGGAAGGATACCGCAAAATCTCCATTCCCACACCACTCCAGGGGAAGGATACCGCAAAATCTCCATTCCCACCCCACTCCAGGGAAAGGTTACTGCAAAATCTCCATTCCCACCCCACTCCAGGGGAAGGTTACTGCAAAATCTCCATTCCCACACCACTCTGGGGTCAGCCAGAGTTGTATTTGCCGGTTCTCCGAACTACACAAAATTTCCACTACCGGTTCTCCGGAACCTGTCAAAACCTGCTGGATTTCACCCCTAGCTTCCCTGAGCTGGGAAGAGGAAGCCCTGGGAAAAGTGGCTTTCTTTGGAAGCCGAAGCAGTGGGAGAGAGGGAAGGATTGCCCAGCTTCTGAACCACAGAGGCAGAGACCCTCCTCTTCCTCACCTGGGAGATCTTGCCAACAGTCTTAATCTGGGGTTGCGATGGCATCTGGCCTGGGCTTTGGATCTGGGGAACTTGGACCTGTCCTGTGGCCTGCTGCTGTTGTTGCTGCTGCTGCTGCTGTTGCCGTAGGAGTTGTAAATTATTTGGATTGATGGTCTTTCCGGAGAGTTGCACGCTGGCTGCAGCAGCTGGAGGGGGAAAAAAAGAAAAAAAATCATGAGCTGCGGTGGCGCAGTGGTTAGAGTGCAGTACTGCAAAGCAGCTTCTGCTGCCTGCCGACTGCCTGCAATTTGGCATTTAGAATCTCATCAGGTTCAAGGTTGACTCAGCCTTCCATCCTTCCGAGGTGGATAAAATGAGGACCCAGATTGTTGGGGGCAAGAGGCTGACTCTGTAAAACCGCTTAGAGAGGGCTGGAAAGAACTTTGAAGCAGTATAGAAGTCTAAGTGCTACTGCTCTTTTTTCCTTCCTTCCTTCCTTCCTTCCTTCCTTCCTTCCTTCCTTCCTTCCTTCCTTCCTTCCTTCCTCCATCCATCCATCCATCCATCCATCCATCCATCCATCCATTGTACAGTGGTTATAGGTTAAAATGCAGCATTGCAGACTAACTCTGCTGATTGCCAGCAGTTCAATCCTCACAGGGCTCAAGGTTGACTCAGCCTTCCATTCTTCCGAGGTGGGTAAAATGAGGACCCAGATTGTTGGGGGCAAGAGGCCGACTCTATAAACCACTTAGAGAGGGCTGGAAAGAACTTTGAAGTGGTATATAAGTCTAAATGCTATTGCTATTGTCCTTCCTCCTCCCTTCCTCCCTTCCTTCCATCCATCCATCCATCCATCCATCCATCCATCCATCCATCCATCCATCCATCCATTGTACATAGTGGTTAAAATGCAGCATTGCAGGCTAACTCTGCTGATTGCCAGCAGTTCAATCCTGACCAACTCAAGGTTGACTCAGCCTTCCATCCTTCCAAGGTGGGTAAAATGAGGACTCAGATTGTTGGGGGCCAGAGGCTGACTCTGTAAATCGCTTAGAGAGGGCTGGAAAGCACTGTGAAGCGGTATATAAGTCTAAGGGCTATGGCTCTTCCTTTCCTCTCCCTCCTTCCCTCCCTCCCTCCTTCCTTCCTGCCTGCCTGCCTGCCTGCCTGCCTGCCTGCCTGCAAAGTGGTTGAATGCAGTATTGTAGGCTAATTCTGCTGACTGCCAGCTGCCAGCAGTTCAAGTCTCACCAGGCTCAAGGTTGACTTAGACTTCCGTCCTTTCACGGTGCGTAAAATGAGAACTCAAATTGTTGGGGGCAAGAGGCTGACTCTGTAAACCGCTTAGAGAGGGCTGGAAAGCAGTGAGAAGCGGTATATAAGTCTAACTGCTATTGCTATTAAGAAGGGAAAAATAAGATGGCAGAGATAGCTAAATTGAACAGAATTGATTTTGTTTCTGCTTGGAAACCACTTTTGAGGTGGGGGGAAAAATGCAACTTTGATTTAGGGTTTTGCCAATTAGATAGGTTTGTGGTTATAGAAATGGTTAGTATATTATAGATAGATAGATAGATAGATAGATAGATAGATAGATAGATAGATAGACAGACAGACAGACAGACAGACAGACAGACAGACAGACAGACAGATATCAATATATTAAATGTCTCATTATCCAAACTAGGTAACATCATTAGTGCTAATGATACAAGGGATGGAGGTTTGTGTATTTTGGGGCGCCCATAGAAACGTGGGGGGATGAGTCTGCTGCTGACTAGCACTGACCACGTTACTTCAACTCCCAGCATTCTCTGGCCGCTAGGGAATGCTGGGAGCTGGAAGTCCACCCTTCTGAAAAAAGCAGCTGAGGTTGGAAAACGCTACTCTCAAGGATGCAGCCCCCCCACAGGTTTTACCTGGCGTCACCTGAGTGACCAAAGACCTCGGCTGAGTCTGGACTGGAGTCAGGTTCGTGGTCACCACAGCTGAGGCAGTCACCGAAGTGACCGCTCGAACTCCGGGCGTAGACGTGAGGGTGACCAGTTCCGTGGAGGTGGCTGACGTGCCGGTGGCTCTCTGCTGGGAATGGACCACCTGAGCGGTGGTAGTTCCTGCTCCCGAGGTCTAAAAGGAAGGAGAAAAATCGGAAGGTTTTAGGATTTGCGGTTTAAATTCGCCACGCTGGACCGGACTTGTGAGAGCTGCGATGCCGGTTGGCAGGCTGAAAAATCCGCATTCGGAGCTAATTTTTTTCCTTTGAATCTTTCCTGTCTCTCTCAAGTGTCTTCAGCCACATCTGTAACAATTTGGCCCCACTTCGTCCAAAGGGCGACACGGTCCCTTGTTAAGACACAACGCATCATGGTTTGTAACGGAAGGATGCCAATCTTAGAAGGACAGAATGTTGGTCCAGAATAATAATAATTTAATAGGAAACGTCTTTAGATCAATGCAGCCAAACCACTTTCAAGTTACTTAAATAGAGGTTCGTATTATCACAGTAGTAGTAGTAGTAGTAGTAAGGAGGAGGAGAAGCAGCAGCAGCAGCAGCAGAAAAGGAAGAAGGGGAAGAAGAAGAGGAAGAAGAAAGGAGGAGGAGAGGGAGAAGAAGGAGGAGGAGGAAGGAGGAGGAGGAGAAGAAAAGAGGAAGAAGAAAAGAAGAGGAGGAAGAAGAAGAAGAGGAGGAGAGGGAGAAGAAGGAGGAGGAGGAAGGAAAAGGAGGAGGTGGGAGGAGGAAGAGGAAGAGGAGAAGGAAGAGGAAAAAAATATCTTTATCAAAGCCCATTTCTAACTCAAAATTAGAACATCTACTTTCTTGACGTTTCAATACTCAGCAAACATTCTTTTAACCTCATATTTCACCCCCCCACCCTCCAAAGTACAGTCCAGCAGAATCAGCAAATAAAAATCAACGGCCTTTTAGATAGAGACCACTTTCTGCTCTCAAAAGGAATGAATATCATGAAGCTTTTAAGAAAACTGTATTTCTCTGCGAAGACCATAATTTTCTCTCCCTGTTGCAAGTAACGGTTTTGCTCATGCGAACTGCACAGACCGAATGAGAATATCTAGGACGGAGCCATTTAGAGAAAGCCGAGATAGAAGTCAGGTTCGCACCGTATCATCAGGAGAAATTTAAAAGACGAGGAGGAAGGAGAAGGAGGAGGAGGAAGAAAAGGAAGGAGGAGGGAGGGAGGAAGAAGGAGGAGGAGGCGGAGAAGAAGAAGAAAAAGAAAAAGAAGAAGAAAGGAAGAAAAGAAAGAAAGAAAGAAAGGAAGGAAGGAAGGAAGGAAGGAAGGAAGGAAAGGAAGGAAGGAAGGAAGAAAGAAAGAAAGAAAGAAAAAAGAAAGAAAGAAAGAAAGAAAGAAAGAAAGAAAAAGAAAGAAGAGAGAAGAAAGAAAGAAAGAAAGAAAGAAAGAAAGAAAGAAAGAAAGAAAGAAGGCGGCGACACTGACATTAACAAAGGCACTGATGATACCTTTAACACATCCACATCTGCCTATCCCAGGTCCTTGGGAAGGACTCGATAGGTGGTCAAAAATGCCAAACAGACCCAGTCTGAACAGCTGGAGGCCTGTGCGATGAACCCCAATACCTCCAATCCTACCTATTCTTCTCCAAAAGCTGTCCCACCACCCCACCCCACCCCACCCCACCCCATTTTAATACTAGGTAGCCATTATTTTTTTTTTTTTTTTGCAAAATTCACCGTCTTAGTTTTCTGCTCCGAGGAACGGCCACTCACCGCCAGCGTCCCGGGTATAATGGGTGAAGCCAACCTCTTGTTGATGGGTTGAAAAGTAGTTGCGGGGACCCCAGTGATGGTGTTGACGCTCACAGTGGCTGGAAGGAAAGGGGAGGTCACTCGGGTTGCAGGTGGAGCAGAAATGGCGGGGGGAGGAGGGAAGGGTATGGTGTGTGGGGTGGGAGAGGGCGGGAACATTTATTCTGCCGCTTTCCCCTTTGCAAGGACTGGCCAGATATACCTGTTTGTATGTTGGCCCCGGTCACGGTGGGTTTCATGGTGCCAGCCTGGAGAGAGGGAGAGAAGGCATTGACATTGGTAGGAGGAACCAGGGAGAGGCTCTCCAGATCCCCTCCAGATGTTTTCCAGCATTAATATAGCAATAGCCCTTAGACTTATATAGCGCTTCACGGCGCTTTTACAGCCCCTCTCCAAGCGGTTTTATAGAGTCAGCCTCTTGCCCCCAACAATCTGGGTCCTCATTTTACCGACCTCGGAAGGATGGAAGGCTGAGTCAACCTTGAGCCTGGTGAGATTCGAACTGCCAAATTGCAGGCAGCCAGCAGAAATAGTCTGCAATATTGCATTCTAAGCACTGGGAAGGAAGGAAGGAAGGGAGAGGAGGGGAGGGGAGGGGAGAGGAGAGGAGAGGAAGAGCAATAGCCCTTAAACTTATATACAGCTTCACAGTGCTTTCCAGCCCTCTCTAAGCTGTTTACAGAGTGAGCCTCTTGCCCCCAACAATTTGGGTTCTCATTTTACCCACCGTGAAAGGACGGAAGGCTAAGTCAACCTTGAGCCTGGTGAAACTTGAACTGCTGGCAGCTGGCAGTCAGCAGAATTAGCCTGCAATACTGCATTCAACCACTTTGCAGGCAGGCAGGCAGGCAGGCAGGAGGGAGGGAGGGAGGGAGGGAGGGGAAAGGAAGAGCCATAGCCCTTAGACTTCTATACTGCTTCACAGAGCTTTCCAGCCCTCTCTAAGCGGTTTACAGAGTCAGCCTCTGGCCCCCAACCATCTGGGTCCTCAAATTAATGGGCCTGATGGGGTCAGTATTAACCCCATCAGGCCCATGACTTGATCCTTTAAGCAGGGGGGTGGATCTCCTCTGTTCATCACTCCCTGACTCTAAAGCGGCTAGTGGAGATTTACTTTATTATTTATTTATTCGGGATTTTTTTATCCCGCCTTTATTACAAGGAACTCAGAACAGCAAACATATCTAATATGTACCTTCCTCCTCCTTTTTTTCCCCACAACAATCATCCGAGTGAGGTGGGGTGGGCTGAGACAGAGGGACTGGCCCAACCCAGCCAGCTTTCATGGCTAAGGCAGGACTAGAAGTCCCAGTCTCCTGGTGATTGGCAGAGTCACCCAGCTGGCTTTCATGCTTAAAGTGGGACTAGAACTCACAAGTCTCCTGGTCATTGGCCCAAAGTCACCCAGCCAGCTTTCATACCTAAGGGAGGACTAGAATTCCCAGTCTCCTGGTCATTGGCCCAATGTCACTGGGGCAACTTTCAAGCCTAAAGTGGGACTAGAACTCCCATCTCCTAGTGATTGGCCCAAAGTGACCTAGCTGGCTTTCATGACTAAGGCAGGACTAGAACTCACTGTCTCCAGGTGATTGACCCAAAATCACGGAGACAGCTTTCAAGTCTAAAGGGGGACTAGAACTCCCAGTCTCCTGCTGATTGGCCCAAAGTGACCTAGCTGGCTTTCATGCCTAAGGTGGGACTAGAACTCCCAGTCTCCTGGTGATTGGCCCAATGTCACCGGGACAGCTTTCATGCCTGAAGGGGGACCATAACTCACAGTCTCTTGCTGATTGGCCCAAAATGACCGAGCTGGCTTTCACGCCTAAGGCGGGACTAGAACTCACCGTCTCCTGGTTTGTAGGGAACCGCCCCACTACTACACTATTTAGCACGAATCCTCGTCTCTCCTAACTCTGAGAGGTAACCAAGAGAAAGGAATTGTTCCAAAGCCACACATAAAATCCAGTTTTTGCCATGTGGCCCTATTTGGTTCCTTTACAGAGAGCTTTTCCTTTTTCCCACCCCGGCCAGCGGGTCTTACCAACACAGCTGTGTTTGCCACCGTGGTCGCGGCCGTCTGCAGCCCACCTTGAGGCTGCTGGATGCCCTGGCCTTGCACCTGGGTCTGAGTTTGTGCTTGCTGCCCCGCCAAGGGCTGAGCTGTTTGCTGCCCGGCCTGCTGTTGTTGCTGCTGCTGCTGTTGTTGTTGTTGTTGCTGCTGTTGTTGTGGGGCGGCTTGTTGCTGAGCTCGCTGCTGTTCTGCCAGAGCCTGGAAAGAAGAAGAGAGCCAATGAATTGGCAGCAGGGCTCTTCCCTTGGGGTGAGGTGGGCTGGGCTGAGAGAAAGTGACTGGCCCAAAGTCATCTATCCGGCTTTCATGCCTAAAGTGGAACTAGACCTCACTGTCTCCTGGCGACCGGCTCAAAGTCACCCAGTATTTCTCCCTAAGGCAGCCTTACAACTTAGCATGATCAGCAAATAGGCCCAAGAATTAAAAACACAAAAACACTTTCTTTCTTTCTTTCTTTCTTTCTTTCTTTCTTTCTTTCTTTCTTTCTATCTTTCTTCTCTTTCTTTCTTTCGCTCTCCTTTTTCATTCATTCTTACTTTCTCTCTGTTTCTCCTTTCTTTCTCTCTCTCCCTCTCTCTCTGTCTCTCTCTCTCTCTCTCTCTTTCTTTCTTTCTTTCTCTTTCAACCTACCTTCTTTTCCTTTGCGATGCGCTCCGCTCGGAGAGATGCAACTTGAATTGGAGGCAGTGGTTTATCATAGTTGATGCCACTAGAATTAGAGGAAAAATAGATAGGGTAATAAGTAAAGAAACTTAGGTCAAATAGGAGGTACCGTGTTTCCCCGAAAATAAGACCCTGTCTTGTATTTTTTTGAACCCTGAAATAAGCGCTTGGCCTTATTGCCATGCACTCAAAAACCCGATTGGGCTTATTATCAGGGGATGTCTTATTTTGGGGGAAACAGGGTAGATACCGGTAGGTAGGTAGGTAGGTAGATAGATAGATAGATGATAGGTAGGTAGGTAGGTAGATAGCTAGCTAGATGATAGATATAGATGATAGATAGATGATAGATAATAGATAGATAGATAGATAGATAGATAGATGATAGATAGATAGATAGATAGATAATAGGTAGGTAGGTAGATAGCTAGCTAGATGATAGATATAGATGATAGATAGATGATAGATAATAGATAATAGATAATAGATAATAGATAGATAGATAGATAGATAGATAGATAGATAGATAGATAGATAGATACCGTGTTTCCCCCAAAATAAGACCCTGTCTGGTATTTTTTTGAACCCTGAAATAAGCGCTTGGCCTTATTGCCATGCACTCAAAAGCCCGATTGGGCTTATTATCAGGGGATGTCTTATTTTGGAGGAAACAGGGCACAGAAATGTGATGAATGAGCAAATGAGTAAATGAACGAATGATTGATTGATTGATAGATCAAAGTGAACCAAGTTAGATATTCTGAAAGGGGGGAAAAAGGCACAAGGCAGTTAAATGAAACCCTGATGATTTCAGTGCTGGATTATGTACAAACGCATGTAAACACATCAGTAACATAAAACAGTGTTGGAGCAAATACCCTGAACTCTAGATCAAGGGGGGGTCTCCAAACTTGTCAACTGTATGACTTGTGGACTTCAACTCCCAGAATTCTGCATGGCTGGCTGAGAAATTCTGGGAGTTGAAGTCCCACAAGTCGTAAAGTTGCCAGATTTGGTGACTCACACCCTCTAGATCATACGTCTTTTCCACCTTCTCTTGCCAGTTCTTACCTTTCTGCAAGGACTGAAGTGTGTTTAGGGTTTTCTGGAAAGGATTCATGCCAAGCCTGAAATAATAATAATAAAAAAAGATAGGTGTTTGCTAGAAAGCCATGCAATTTAAAAATTGCCACGTGTCATTAGATGCGAATCCAAAATTCGAAATGAAGGAATTGGTTTAGGCGCACAAAACAGCAGCTCAAATGGACACCAGAAAGGGCATATCCAGGCACACCTTTTGTTCATAACACATTCTTTACACTTTTCTGAAGTGCAAACTTCTATTATTTAACACGAGACTGTACTTTCAGCTCGTTCGTTAGATTTTTTTATCCTGCCCTTACTACTTTAAAAGTAACACAAGGTGGCGAACATACCCAATACTTCCTCCTCCTCCTATTTTCCCCACAACCTAACTGTGAGGTGGACTTGGATGAGAGAGAGAGAGGGACTGGCCCAAAGGCACCCAGCTGGCTTCCATGCCTAAAGCATGAAAGTCTAGAATTCACTGTCTCCTGATGAGTGGCTGAAAGTAAGCTAGTTGCTTTCATGTCTAAGGCGGAACTATAACTCGCCGTCTCCTGGTCATTTATCTGAAGACACTCAGCTGGCTTTTATGCCTAAAATGGGACTAGGACTCATAGTTTCCTGGTAATTGACCCAAAGTCACCCAGCCAAACTTTCATGCCTTAAGCAGGACTAGAACTCCCCGTCTCCTAAGGTGGAACTATAACTCACCATCTCCTGGTCATTTACCTGAAGACACTCAGCTGGCTTAAGCTAAAACGGGACTAGGACTCACAGTTTCCTGGTAATTGACCCAAAGTCACCCAGCAAACTTTCATGCCTTAAGCGGACTAGAACTCCCGTTCTCCTAAGGTGGAACTATAACTCACCGTTTCCTGGTCTTTACCTGAAGTCGCTCAGCTGGCTTTTATGCTAAAACGGGACTAGGACTCAGTTTCCTGGTAATTGACCCAAAGTCACCCAGCCAAACTTTCATGCCTTAAGCAGGACTAGAACTCCCGTCTCCTAAGGTGGAACTATAACTCACCGTTTCCTGGTCTTTTACCTGAAGTTGCTCAGCTGGCTTTTATGCCTAAAATGGGACTAGGACTCACAGTTTCCTGGTAATTGACCCAAAGTCACCCAGCCAAATTTCATGCCTTAAGCAGGACTAGAACTCCCGGTCTCCTGGTTTCTAAGTTAAGACCTTCCCTACTACACCTGGCTCTCCTTTATCAATATCACATCTGGGGACCGCCAACTGGATTCAGGCCTATTAAGTATGGAAAGGACTCATTTTCTCCCCCAATGATTCTTTTATGAACTTACAGGGGTTTGATGGGTGGACTCCTCTTCCCAGCAATCAATTTCATGATCTCGAAATGGTTTGTGTAGAGATGGGTGTGCGACGCACCTTCGTCCTGGGCGTACAGCTGGTTGGTCCGGAGCGGGCGACTGTTCTTTGTCTAAAGGTGAGCAAAGGTGACAAACTTCATATATGGAGCAACGTGGAAAGAAGCAAGGAGGCATTGGTCTATGCACCGACTCATGTGGGAGTTTCAACGCAGCAATCTTCCCTAATCTGGCCTTCTCCAATGATGACAGATTATAGCAATGTTTCTCAACCTAGCCAACTTTCCAAAGAATAGACTTCAACTCCCAGAGTTCCCTAGGGTCTGGCTTCTCTAGATAACAAGACTCTATGGTTGTTGGATCTTAGTGGGTTGGTTTAACCAAGGCTTTTAAACTGATGTTTCAAAATCTGGCTAACTTTCAGAGGGGGTGGACTTCAACTTCCAGAATTCTCCAGCCAGCCAGGATGGCCGGTTGGAGAATTCCGGGTGTTGAAGGCTACCATCTATTAAAGTCGTGCAGGTTGAGAAATATCGGACTACAGAGTCCATCTCAAACAGAGGAGACTGTCTAGAATAGTCAGGCAAGGCAAACTACAAACGCTGAGAACAGATAATGAATTGAAAGAGGTGAATGAATTCTTGATTGATCTCTCCGTTGCCTATCCTGTTTTTTGATTTTCAGAACTAAACACGGCTGGTTGTAGCACCAGTATTTTTGAGAAGCGAGTTCCAATACAGCCTTCAGGGCTGTCACAGGAGCAGGTTCTCTTTGACCATAAGTGTAGGCTGGTTTTCCCCATCACAAGAAAACTCCAATTGTTTTAAACATACTGTATTTTTTGGAGTGTAAGACGCTCCGGACTATAAGATACACCTACCTTTTTTGGGTAGGAAAACAAGAAAAAAAAGTCTATCTCTGCCTCCCAGCAATTTGTCTCCTTGCAGCAAACAGCCAGTTTCAGTTTCAGTTTCAGCACAGCCTGATTAGCACAAGAAAAAAAAATCTGCCTCTGCCTCCCAGCAATTTGCCTCCTTGCAGCAAACAGCGGAGGCGGAAAATGGGGCGCATGGAGGCGACAATAGGCAATGGCAGGGCAATAACCCTGCAGCCTGAAACAGCTGATGGTCGGGAGGCCGATCCAACTGACCATCAGCTGCTTGTGCTAATCAGGCTGTGCTGAAGCTGAAACTGAAACGGGCTGCTTGCTGTTTGCTGCAAGGAGGTAAATTGCTGGGAGGCAGAGGCCAAAGAGTGGGGGACGCTGGGTAGGCAGGGCTACATTCGGTGTATAAGTCGCCCCCGATTTTTTACCCTCTTTTAGGGGGGGGAAATATGCGTCTCATACTCCGAAAAATATGGTCATTTGCTGAACCAGCCACAACGTCCTGTTGAACGCCATCGGGCTAAGCCGAAAAACCACAACCGACATACCCACAGGGCTCTGATCTGTGGTGACCCCGTAAAGTCCAAATCAAGCCGGCCAAAGGAAGGCTCCGTGTAACGCACGAACTTGGCCGCGCGTGCATAGACAAACACACACATGTAGAGATGTGCAGCTTTTTCTTGAAACATTGGGTCTCCTAATCGAGTTGCCTACCACGTTCATTTGCAAGTTCACAAAGGCTTAATATTTGTGATATCAGAAAGAGGGCTCCGGAGTTTTGCCCCCTCGTTGAGGTGTGTGTGTGTGCATGTGTGTTCGTGGTATGTGTGTGTGTGTGTAATCCATTTGGTAGAGAACCACTCAAAAGGACCATGACATCTCCTAACAATATAGCTATATTGTACTGCTCAATTTCTGCAGGGGTTAATTTGAAGGGGGTGGGGGTGGGAGATGGAGGTGGAGAGGAGGTGATACATTACCTGAGGGGCTGTTGCAGGAATTAATTCATTAAAGTTCTGCAAAGCAATCAGATTTCAAAATGAAAAGTAAAAAACGAAAAGAAAAAAAACCCAGCTAGTAGCCAAACTTTTATTAATTCAAACCCAAAAATTAAAAAAAAAAGAAAAAGAAAGAAAGAAAGAAAGAAAGAAAGAAAGAAAGAAAGAAAGAAAGGAGAAGGGGAGGAAACCAGACTAAACCATGAGGAATGAGGTGTCATTTCTGGGAGGTGGATGGAGTCTATTTTTCTTTTTCTTTTCTTTTCTTTTCTTTTTTTGAACAATAATTTAAAAAATAAATATGATAATAATAATGGAATTCAAACTGGGTGAGGAAATCGCTCAACCGCATGCTGGAGACACAAAAGGGACCACAAATCACAAATCTACTGCGTCGGACGCGGAAAATAAAATGGCGGACGTTTTCGAAAGGGCCGAAATCGGGAGGTTGGGGGGAGGCGGTGTGAGGGAATATGGACCGTTCCTACTTCAGGTCGGGGGGGGGGGGGGGGGGGGGGGGGGGGGGGAGGTGGTGCCATCTCTGCTGACGCTTAAAGAGATCGGAACTGTCTGCAATTGGAACAACAATTTGTAAGTGCACACCTTATAAATGCTTTTAGTCTTCTTCTTAGGGTTCGCTTCATACATAAGCTGTAAAATAAGAAGCAAAGTTTGACTTTCCGCGATGGGTTTGGGAAGGCGGTTAGTGTCACAAAAAATAAAAAGTAATAATAATGATAATAATAATGATAATAATAATAATAATAATAATAAAAAAGGGGGGGAAACAAGGAAGTCCAGTTGCCTTTTGAAAAAGACCAACCATAACCTGGATGACTGAGAATCTCCATCAACAATCATTAAAGAGGTTGCCTCATAGATTCAGTGAGCAAAGGAGGGGCAGGCGCGAGGCCTGGAGGGAGGGGGGGGGAGAGGCAGGCTTCGTCATCCCTGATGGGAGACCCCCCCCCCAAAGGAACTGGGGAGCATGCTGGAAAGCCTTGGCACAAACTCCGGGGTCTCAGTCTCCATGCCCATCCTTCAAAGAGGCATCGGGGTTAAACCTAGCTCAAGAGGGCAAGCCGGAGAAGGGGGGGCGGGCGGTTGCGGGAACACCTTGGCAATTTCTTAAACAAGCAAAATAATAAGAATATTTCTTGTTTTTTAAAAAAAAAAAAGAAAAAGAAAAAAAAAAGGAGGAGGATAAAAGCGCCACAGCAAAGCATCACACACAAGGCACACACGGTCACAAAGAGGGAACCCGCTTCGAACGGGGTTTTTGCGTCGGGCCCCGCTCTCGCTCGCGGCCTCCCTTCGGCCGCGGAGGGGGGTGGAGCGAAGCGGGCCCCCACCCCCATTTGGACTGGCACTCACCTTCCCTTCTTCGCGGGGAATGACGACGTTCTCGTAGCGGTTGCGGCACTGCTTGGGGGAGCGGTAAACCCGGCTGCAGGAGTTCACCACGTCGCTCACCAGGTCCCAGTTGGGGGTGTGTGCGGGGGACATGATGGCCAGGTTGAGCGGGAGTTCCAGCAGCTGCTTGACGGCCTGCAGTAAAGAATAAGAATAAGAATAAGAATAATTTTATTTCTATACCACCCTTCTCCCGAAGGACTCAGGGTGGTATACAGCCTATTAAAACACAAGACAACATCAGTTAAAATAGTTTAAAATTATTAAATGAGTTCGGCTCAAATTTAAAACCCCAGAAATTTAAAATACCCCAATTTAAAATTATCATGTTGATAGCCCGGCCTGGCGGAACAACAGGGTCTTCAGTGCGCAGCGAAACACCCGGAGGTCGGTGATCTTACGTATTTCCGGGGGCAGTTCATTCCACAGGGCTGGGGCTCCCACAGAGAAGGCCCTCCCCCTGGGTGTTGCCAGCCGACATAACTTGGCCGATGGCACCCGGAGGAGACCCTCTCTGTGGGAGCGAACTGGTCGGTGGGAGGCTATTGGTGGCAGAAGTCGGTCTCGAAGGTACCCAGGTCCTATGCCATGGAGCGCTTTAAAGGTGGTGACCAGCACCTTGAATCGCACCCGGAAGACCACTGGGAGCCAATGCAGCTCGCGCAGGAGGGGTGTCACGTGGGCACAACAGGTTGCGCCCATAACCACCTGCGCGGCCGCATTCTGGACCAGCTGGAGCCTCCGAGTGCTCTTCAAGGGGAGCCCCATGTAGAGAGCATTACAATAGTCCAGCCCAAAGGTGGGAATAGCGAGGGCAAAGTGTCAAAATAACGGAATAACGGAGTTGGAAGGGACCTTGGAGGTCTTCAGGTCCAACCTCTTGCTTAAGCAGGAGACTCTCTACCGGTCTAGACAAATCATTGTTCAATTTCTCCTCCAAAACCTCCAGTGATGGAGCACCTAGAACCATGATGGAAAACCTATGACACGCATGCCCAAAGTGGCACGCGAAGCCATGTCGCCTGGCACATGCAGCCTTGCCTCTTTTGCCTTCCAGGCTTCTGGTGCACATGCACGCGTGACAGTCAGCTGTCCTTCGTGCGCACGGCAGTGCCAAAAACCTGTGAGCGCACGTGTGCCAGCCAGCTGATTGTCGGCCGCGCATGCGTGCTGGAACCCGGAAGTTTGGCTTTTCTGGAGCGCGACCCTGATGAGCATGCGTGTGTGATGTTTCCGTGCGACCTTCTAGGAAATCGGTGCCGAAAAGGTTCGCCATCACTGATCTAGAACTTCTGAAGGGCTTTTCCAGCCCTCTCTAAGCGGTTCACAGAGTCCCCAACAATCTGGGTCCTCATTTTACCCACCTCGGAAGGATGGAAGGCTGAGTCAACCTTGAGCCGGTTAGGATCGAACTGCTGCCAGTGGGCAGAATTGGCCTGCAATACTGCATTCTAACCACTGTGCACCATGGATGGATGGATGGATGGATGGATGGATGGATGGATGGATGGATGGAAGGAAGGAAGGAAGGAAGGAAGGAAGGAAGGAAGGAAGGAAGGAAGGAAGGAAGGGCAACAGCAATATACTTAGACTTATATACCACTTCACAGTGCTTTCCAACCCTCTCTAACCGGTTTACAGAGTCAGCCTCTTGCCCCCAACGATCCGGGTCCTCATTTTACCCACCTCGGAAGGATGGAAGGCTGAGTCGACCTTGAGCCGGTTAGGATCGAACTGCTGCCAGTGGGCAGAGTCAGTCTGCAATACTGCATTCTAACCACTGCGCCACCACGGCTCTTTAAATAAAAAGCATCTAGGTCAGTGATGGTGAAACTTTTCAGCACCGAGTGCCCAAACTAAAACGTGTGTGCATGTGGGAGCGCCGAAAATCCAAAGACCAGCTGATCTGCGTGCGCATGCTGGTTTTTTGGCTGTTTTCCGGGCCGTTTTTGGACTGTTTTTGGCTATTTTTGTGCAGTTTTCCAGTGCTCCGGCACCCACGAAGACCAGCTGGCCGGCGCACATGTGTGCAGCGGAAACCAGAAGAGCAGCTGGCGACAGCGCGCATGCCCACAGAGCGGGTTCTGCGTGCCACCTTTGGCATACGTGCCACAGGTTCGCCATCATGGATCTAGGCAGTTTTAGGCTGCAGAAATTCTTACGTCTGGGAAGGAACAGCCATTGTTAGACGTGAGGATTTATGTTAAGGAAGTAGGAAGGGGAGGAAAACAGTGGCTCAGTGGCTAAGACACTGAGCTTGCCGATCAGAAAGGTCGGCAGTTCGAATCCCTAGTATTAGGTCTCCTGTGCGAGCAGGGGGTTGGACTAGATGACCTCCAAGGTCCCTTCCAACTCTGTTACTGTTACTGAAGAAGAAGAAAGAAAAGAGGTTTCTTGGCTGTCTCTGAGCTGAGACATCCCTGAAAACAACAAGATGACATCTAGTGCCCGGCTGCTTGATGGCACCGACTGGGTCATCTTGGTGGGTGGCCACTACAGAGATGCTGGGATCGGTTTTTGGGTTGGTTTGGTAGGCCGCCTCTCACCTGGAGGAGAGCCCAGTCTTCGCTGATCAACCACTCGGGGTTGTCCTGGCCGGCCTCCGCCGCCGGCTTCACGAGGGTGGGCAAGGGCTTGGCGAACGGGGTCTGCTGTTTGAGCAGGATGTTCTTCTTTTGCTCCTTGCCTTCCCGTCGCACTTTCAGCATCCCCGGAGTGGCGCGGTCAAAGAGGGAGCGAGGAGGGACGACGATTTCTCCGTGACGCTGCTTCTTCTTCCTTCCTGCGGCTGGGAGAGAGGGTGGCCACAGTCAGGAGGACAGCTAGAGGGGTGTGTATTTTTCTTTCTTTCTTTCTTTCTTTCTTTCTTTCTTTCTTTCTTTCTTTCTTTCTTTCTTTCTTTCTCCCTCCTCTCTTGGTCTCTCTCTCTCTCTCTCCCCCTCCCCATCTCTTTGTCTGTCCCTCCCACCCTCTCTCTCGCCCCCTTAGTTTCTCCCACCCTCTCTCTGTCTATCCCTCCCCCTCCCTCGGTCTCCCCCTCTCTTCCCCTCCCCCTCTTGGTCTCTCCCTCCCTCCCCCTCCCTCTTCCTCTTCCTTCCTCGGTCTCTCTCTCTCCTTCTCTCCCCCCCTCCCCCTCTCTCTGTCTCTCCCTCCATCGGTCTCTCCCTCCCTCCTCCTCTCCCTTCCTCAGTCTCCCTCTCCCCCCTCCCCATCTCTTGGTCTCTCCCTCCCTCCCTCCTTCCCTCCCTCCCTCCCTCTCTCTCTCTCCCTCTCTCTGTCTCTCTCTGGGTGAAGAGACAAACAAGAGTCCATGCAGTCTGTCCCGAACATGTCAAGCCTCAAGCCGGGAAGATGACGTGGATAGAGTCACATCAGCTTCGAGGCGAAAGTGACAAGAGGTGCAGCAAATACACAAGGCAGAAGGCCTATGGACCTTAAATCCCAGGCAAAGCTTACTGGAAGGATCGGTCTTGTGCCTCTTGCGCTCCTTCCTGACGTACACGGGAGGCAGCTTGGACTCTGGGATGGGGACCGGCTCGTACATCAGACACATGACCGAGTCAATGTAAATATCGTTGTCATCCTGCGGTGGGGTGGGCGGAGTCCAAAGCTGCAAAAAAGCATCAGGAGAAAGTTACCCTTTTCTTCTTTCCAAAATTGTACTGATAGATACATACTTGGATGTGTTTCACTGGAGGGGTGGGGAGGAGAATGAGAGGAGGAAGAAGAAGAGGAGGAGGAGAATAGCAATAACACTTAGACTTATATACTGCTTCACAGTGCTTTGTAGCCCTCTCTAAGCGGTTTAGAGAATCAGCCTCTTGCCCCCAACAATCTGGGTCCTCATTTTATTGACCTCGGAAGGATGGAAGGTTGAGTCAGCCTTGAGCCTGGTGAGATTCGAACTACCAAATTGCAGGCAGCCAGCAGTCAGCAGAAAACAGCCTGCAGTACTGCCTTCTAATCACTGTGCACCATGGAAGGGAGGGAGGGAGGGAGGGAGGGAGGGAGGAAAGAAAGAAGGAAGGAAGGAAGGAAGGAAGGAAGGAAGGAAGGAAGGAAGGAAGGAAGGAAGGAAGAACAATAGCCCTTAGACTTATCGCTTCATAGAGCTTCACAGCCCTCTTTAAGCGGTTTACAGAGTCAGCCTCTTGCCCCCAACAATCTGGGTCCTCATTTTATCCACCTCAGAAGGATGGAAAGGATGAGTCAACCTTGAGCCTGGTGAGATTCGAACTGCCAAATTGCAGGCAGCCGGCAGTCAGCAGAAGTTGCCTGCAGTACTGCACTCTAACCACTGAGCCACCACAACTCTTCACCACCGCAAATGGGAAGAGGATGGAACGAGGAGGAGGAAAAAGATAGAAGGAGAATGGGAGGAGGAGGGAAGAAGGTGGAGGAGAATGGGAGGAGGAAGGAGAAGGAGAAAGAGAAGGCGGAGGAGAAGAACTTACTGGCATTATTTCAGTTTGTCCATCTGGTCCTTCGTAAAAATACTCCTGTAATACCAGGGACGGTAATGGTGGGGAGAGGGAGGACAAAGAGAGGTTTATTCAGTTCTAGTGTTATGAAAAATGCACCCCAATTCTTACCCCACCCCTCTTAAGACCCAGTTCAAAATAGGGAGCATCATCTAAAGGGATCCCCCCCTCCCACCAGCCTCTAAGAGGGAGACTCTGATCCCCGAAGGGCATCGTCAGCTGGAAACAAAGACGAGAAAAAGCCGAGCGAAGAAAAACGTCGACAACAGCTGCCATTCACACCTCAGCTAGAGCTTAAGTTGGAGAAGTTAATTTACGGCAACGGGAGAAGGGTGACATTGAAAAGACGGTGGACGGTGATTGTGACAAGAAAACGCAGGTGAGCCCAAAAGCCTGGAAATATTTCCAGAGCTTCGAGACGACAGGAAAAGACTGAGAAATTTATTTACTTTGTTGTAGGCGTCTTCTCGAGTGTAAGTGAAAAGTTCTTCCTCCTTCCCTTGCAGAAACGTTTTCTCCTCTTCCTCTTTCAGCCCTTTCAGATGCTGAGCCTCCCATTTCCGTTTTGCCGTCCTCACTTCCACCTGGATGTCAAAAACGGAAAACCAGGAGAACTGTTCTGACCTAGGCTTCCCAAGAGCATGAAGCAGACTCCTTGTCCCGCCAAAAATCCCTTTTTATTAAGTGACTGTGAATTCCTCTCATTCACATCCAGCAAAGTCTTTCAAGGGGGAATTTACAGTCACAGACCTTCTCTGGCTTGGAGAGCTGCCAGGCCCATATCTTCAAAACTTGGCAAGGAATCTTTGAATTATGAACCAATTAAGCGAACTAATTATCTCTTGCAAACTCCCCTCCTCTTTTGCTCCTCTTTTATTCCCTCTGGGAGGGGCCATTCATCATCCACTTGTGGCCTTACTCCTGAGTCGACCCTTGTTCTTTAGCTGTTCCCTTCGTCTGGCAATTCTGCGCATGCGCACACTGGGAACAGGCTCCAGCTGTTCGTCTGCCTCACTGATATCTGACTCTGAAGGCAGCTGATAACTGGCATCCGCCCTGGCCCCCTCTCTGCCTCCGACGCAGAGCCCTCATCAGAGCCTTCCCCAGACTCCAGGACTGGCCCACGTTCCTCCACAACCTCCTCACTGTCCGAATCTGCTACCAGCTCCGACTAGAACCAGAAAATGTGGGTTCGGGAGAGCTTGGGTTCGACGCGGCAATATTACAATATTTCTGCATCAAAAGATTGCTTGGGGGGGTTTCAAAAGATGCCTGTGTCTGTTGAAGGGGGCTAGATATTTTGTCTTCCTTTGATAAGTATAATTAATAATGTTGGCATTCCTACTTCCCAGCATATCAATAGCCAATCAGTTTGATCTAGTGGTTAAGGCACCAGGCTAGAAAATGGGAGTTGCTAAGTCCTAGTTCCACCTTAGGCATGAACCCCAGCTGGGTGACTTTGGGCCAATCACCAGGAAACGGTGCGTTCTAGTCCCGCCTTAGCCATGAAAGCTGGCTGGGTGACTTTGTACCAATCATCAGGAGACTGGGAGTTCTAGTTCTGCCTTAGCCACGAAAACCAGTTGGGTGACTTACAGCCAATCACCAGAAGAAAGAGACTTCTAGTCCCACCTTAAGTATGAAAACCAGCTGGGTGATTTTGGGCAAATCACCAGGAGATGGTGAGTTCTAGTCCTGCCTTAGGCATGAAAACCAGCTGGGTGATTTTGGGATAATGACCAGAAGATGGTGAGTTCTAGTCCCACCTTAAGCCTCAAGGTTAACTGGGTGACTTTGGACCAATCACCAGGAGACAATGAGTTCTAGTCTTGTTTTAGGCATGAAAGCCAACTGGTGACTTTGGGCCAATCATCAGGAGATAATTGAGTTCTAGTCCCACCTTAAGCCTCAAAGCTAAGTGGGTGACTTTGGGCTAATGACCAGAAGACGGTGAGTTCTAGTCCTGCCTTAGCCATGAAAGCCAGCTGTGTGACTTTAGGACAGTCCCCTCCCTCTCTCATCATAGTGCTTAGCGCATTGTAAGCCGCCCTGAGTCTCCGGAGAAGGGTGGCATATAAATCAAATTAAAAAATATATATATATAGTGTTGTGGTTGTGGGGAAAATAGGAGGAGGAAGGTGTGTTGGATATGTTTTGCCACCTTGAGTTATTCGTAAAAATAATAATGGCAGGATGAACATAAATAAAACTAAGTAAATAAATAAACAGATCCTACCTCATTTTCTTTGGATTCATTCTCCTCAGCGGAAACGTGAAAGAATTCCAAATAATTCAAGGCGTACTTTTCAATGGGGGTGAGCTGAAAAAAAAGCAAAGAGAAGCCACAGCATGACCAACAGATTCATGACCTTTGGAGTGGGCAACCAAATGCCAATAAGAAAGATATAAAAGAACCATGTGCTGTGGTCCGCCAGTGGCCTGCGGAGCTGGCAGCAGAGTCGGACAGTGAGGAGGCTGGGGAGGACCATGGGCCAGTTCTGGAGTCTGGGGAAGGCTCGGACGAGGGCTCTGCGTCGGAGGCAGAGAAAGGGCCATCTGGGAGTTATGTGCTGACTCCGGAGCCTCCAGAGTCGAACATCAGCGAGGCAGAGGAACAGTGGGAGCCTGTTCCCAGTGTGCACATATGCAGAGCTGCCAGAAGGCAAGAACAGCTAAAACAAAAGGGACGACTCAGGAGTAAGGCCTGGAGATGATTGGCCCTTCCCATAAGGCTTAAAAGAGGAGAAAGGCACGTGGGCCTTTGCAGGAAGCAACGTTTGTTCATTCGGTTCAGCTTAAAGCCTGAAGCTCTGTTTGATTCTGGACTCCGTGTGGCTTTGCCAATTAGGCCTTTGGCAGCATGTCAAGGGAGATAAAGGTAGGTGATTATCCTGAAGGAATTATCCCAAAGGACTCTTTACAACTAATTGGGACTCAGCTGTGAATGAACGTAATTCACAGCTGTTGCAATAAAAGAGGTTTTGGGGACTACTTGTGTGTTTTACTGACTCAGGAAGCCTCGGTTAGACACCATGCTTGGTTTGCATTAATTTGGTGTCACTTGATAAACACAGCCATGCTCAGTTTATTAAACACAATCTCTCCTTCAGCTACAAAGGCTTAGTTTTGAATGGAACATAACTTTTCTTTTAAAAAAGCAAAGGAATGGACAACTTGATAGCCAACTAAATGTCTATGGAGATTCTCCGTCATCCAGGTCTTAGTTGTCCCAAAGGTGCTTTTTTTTCCAAGAGGCAACTAGACTTTCTGGTTTTTCTTTCTTTCTTTTTTTTTAAATTTGATTTATATGCCGCCCTTCTCCGGAGACTCAGGGAGGCTTACAATGCGCTAAGCAATAGCCTTCATCCTTTTGTATATTTATACAAAGTCAGCTTATTGCCCCCACAAACTGGGTCCTCATTTCACCTACCTTAGAAAGGATGGAAGGCTGAGTCGACCTTGAGCCTTGGCGAGATTCGAACCTGCAGTAATTGCAGGCAGCTGTGTTAATAACAGGGTGCTTTAGACCACTGTACAACCAAGGCTCTTTTGAAGACGTTTCGCTACTTCTCACCTAAGAAGCTTCTTCAGCTTCTTCATCAGAGCTGAATAAGCTTCTTGGAGGAGAAGCAAAACGTCTTCAAAGAAAAAACCAGAAAGTCCACTTGAAAAAGCATCTTTGGATAGTGCTAGCTCAATCTTAAAAGAAGTGTGTGTTTTTTTTTCCCCCTGAGTCAAAGCAGAATGGGGATGGCTTGCTGGGGAGAATCAGATGCATTAATTTAAAACAAAAATAAATAAGTAAGACATAAAAATGGAGAGCCCGTTTAGTGCTACCTTTAAAAGAAGGTAGCAAGAGAGGCTGAAGAATCATGCCAAGGGAACTTCAAGGGCTGGTCCAGGTAGAAGAGCAATAGCCCTTAAACTTATATGCCGCTTCACGGTGCTTTTACAGCTCTCTCTAAGCGGTTTTACAGGATTTGAATAAATGAGCTGGAAGGGACCCTGGAAGCCTTCTAGTCCAGCCCCTGCTCAAGCAGGAGAACCTATACAATTTCAGGCTGTCTAGTTTCTTCTTAAAAAGCTCCAGTGATGGGAGCACGCATGATTTCTGGAGGCCAGCTGTTCCACTGGTTAATTGCTGGGAAGTTTCTCCTTAATTCCAGGTTGCTTCTCTCTTTGCTTAGTCTCCAGCCATTGTTTCTTGTCCTGCCCTCCGGTGCTTTGGAGAATAATTTGACCCCCGTCTTCTTTGGGGCCGCCCCTCAAATACTGGAATGCTGCTATCACCCCTAATTCTTCTTTTCTTTAGACTAGTCAGACCCAAATCCTGCAGCCGTTCTTCCTATGGTTTAGTCTCCAGGCCTTTGATCATCTTCACTGAACTTTTTTCAAAGTCTCAACCTCTTTTTTGTAGTAGGGGGACCAAAATTGGTTGCAGTATTCCAGGTGTGTGGTCTTACTAAGGGTTTTATAAAGTCAACCTCTTGCCCCCAACAATCTGGGTCCTCATTTTACTGATCCCAGAAAGATGGAAGGCTGAGTCAACCTTGAGCCGGTTGCAAATTGAACTGCCAAATGGCAAGTCAGCCGGCAGTCAGTAAAAGTAGCCTGCAGTACTGCATTCTAACCACTGGGAGTCAGGAGTTCCCCCTCACTAATTAAAAAGCGCACACACAGAGACAGCAAAAGAACGTTTCTCGGATCGGGATGGGAAATGCAGATGGAAACCAAGGGCACCTGATCGACCACGGCCACCAGCTCCTGCAGCAGAGAAGGTTGCTCAAGGTATTGTGCCTTTCCAAGTTCTGAAACCAGAGGTTTCGACACCGATTCGTTCTCTCCATCCAGAACGTGCGAGTTCCACGCCTCGTTCTGCTCCTCCTCTTCCATCTCCTCTTCCTCCTCCTTCTCCTCTTCCTCTCGTTCGGTACTTTTCAGAGCCTTTAAGAAGACACAAAACATCTTTTTTTTCCCCCTCCCCTGTACTGGTAGTGTACATTAGATAAATTTGTTAAATTTATTTGCCGCCTATTCTCTCTCTACGGGGCTACTCTAGGCGGCTTAAGAAAGACAAGAAAAGAGAGTAAAACGGAAGTAAAAATAACAGAACAATAAAATAAACATTGAGAAGGAACACAGCACCGAGAATGCATCAATGCCATAACCAAAAAGAGGGATGGGGTGGAGAGTAGAGAGCAAGGGGAGAAGGTGGAGTTTGCCGTCAATCGAGCGGCTACTTCCAGCATGGACTAAAAAATCTGCACCACAAAAAATATGGATTTGATATAACTTAAATATAAGTTTGTTTGCACGAGGAAGTAAAGAGGCATACTTTGTAAATTGATCTATAAATTAAGTGGGCCCAATCTGGGTCAGTCACAGGGACCAAAGGTTTTGTCTCCCGAGCTTTGGGACTCACGCTGGAGTGTGTACTGTTCTGTGTGTGGTATTTACCGTATTTTTCGGAGTATAAGATGCTCCTGACTATAAGACGCACCTACCTTTTTGGGGGAGGAAAACAAGAAAAAAAAATCTGCCTCTGCCTCCCAGCAATTTGCCTCCTTGCAGCAAACAGCAAACAACCTGCTTTAGTTTCATTTTCATTTTCAGCACGGCCTGATTAGCACAAGAAGAAAAAAAAATCTGCCTCCCAGCAACTTGCCTCCTTGCAGCAAACAGCGGAGGCCCGCACAGCAATAGGCAATGGCAATCCCTGCAGCCTGAAACAGTTGACGGTTGGGAGGCCAATCCAACCGATAATCAGCTGCTTGTGCTAATCAGGCTGTGCTGAAGCTGAAACGGGCTATTTACTGCAAGGAGATAAATTGCTGGGAGGCAGAGGTCAGAGGGTGGGTGTGGCTACATTCGGTGTGTAAGACGCACCCAAATTTTCACCCTCTTTTAGGGTGGCCGCTAAGCAGCCTGTCATTAGCCGAGGACTGCTTGTACGTTAAAAATATCACTCAGAATGAAACTATTCTGAGTTGTACTCCGGCAACTCAACTCTCAACCAGCAAATCCAAACCACAAATGCTCCACACTTTCTTACATCCGTTGAAAAATCTGTCTTTCCTTACCTCTATAAAGGGCCTGGCCACTTTGGGAGAGATGGTTTCGGAGGGAGACGGCTCTTGCGACAGCATGACAAATTCTTCGGCTTTCACCCGGAAGCCCGAATCCTCCATTGGTGAGTGAACTTCAAAAAGTTCCTGAATTGTTTGCTGCAGAGAGAAGGGAAGGGAAGGGAAGACTTATTCCATCTTCACGTCCCTTGTTTACTTACTTTGGTTCTCAGGTAAAGGGTAAGAGTTTCCTGTCCAATCGTTTCTCACTCTAGCGGGTGGGGCTCGTCTCCGTTTCTTGGGCAAAGGAGCCGACGTTGTCTGAAGACATTTTCTGTGGGCACGTGGCCAACATGGAACACTGTTTCATGTTCTTGCCTAAGTCCTTAGTCAGGGTTTCCTGCCTAAGCAGGGGGCTGGACTAGAAGGCCTCCAAGGTCCCTTCCAACTCTGTTATTCTATTCTATTCTATTCTATTCTATTCTATTCTATTCTATTCTATTCTATTCTATTCTATTCTATTCTATTCTATTCTAAATTTCCTTATCCTATTCTATTCTCCTTCCTTCTTTCCTTCTTCTCCATCCTATCCTATCCTATCCTATCCTATCCTATCCTATCCTATCCTATCCTATCCTATCCTATCCTATCCTATCCTTATTCTATTCTAATTCTATTCTATTATTTTATTCTCCTTCCTTCTTTCCTTCTCCTTCTTCTCCTCTCTATTCTCTCCTCTCCTCTCCCCTCCCCTCCCCTCCTCTCCCCCCTTCCTTTCCAATGAAGTGGTACCTATTTATCTACTCTCACTGGCATGCTTTCGAACTGCTAAGTGGGCATGAGCTGGGGCGAGAATCTTTTATTTCTACACCACTTCATTCTCCAGAGGCTTCTGAGGTGTCGGTCAAGTGATCAGACTTTTCCAAAGCCACCGGCCCCAAGCGAACATTTTTCTGCCGTTTTCAACCTGGAGATACCTGCGTTAAAAAGGCCATGGAGTAGTCGTTTCCCTGAGCGGCTACTTCTCGGATCAAATCCTTAGTCCCGTTTTTTAAGAGCTTCTCTTCGACCGAGTTCCCGCTGACCAGCCTAGAGAAACCAGAGAGGAAGTGTCACTTTAAAAGGAGGGGTCAAAGACAGCGCCTGAGAAAAACAGCAAAGCCACGGATAACACAGGCAGTCCTCGACTTCCAACAGTTGGTTTAGCGACTGTCCGAAATTACGACACCACTGAGAAAAGTGACTTGTGAACCGTTTTTTCACACTTATGACCGTTGCAGCATCCCTCTGGTCATGTGATCAAAATTCAGACACATGGCAACCGACTCATATTTATGACGGTTGCCGTCTCCCGGGGTCACGTGATCCCCTTTGGCGACCTTGCGATAAGCAAACTCAACGGGGAAGCCAGATTCACTTAACGACTGTGTTACTCACTTAACAACTTCAGTGATTCCCTTAACAACTGTAGCAAGAAAGTTCGTAAAATAGGGCAAAAGTCACTTAACAATGGCAGCGATTCCCTTAACCGCTGTGGCAAGTAAGGTCGTGAAAAGGGAAATAGCAAAGCTCACTTAACAAATGTCTCATTTAGCAACAGAACTTTTGGGCTCAGTCGTGGTTGTAAGTCGAGGACGACCAGTATTGGATCCAAAAAAGAAATAATAATAAGAAGAACACGATTTGGAGGGATAAAGTTACAGGTCCGCCCTTTCCTCCTGGGTTTGTCTCTTCCTTTTCCTTTTTTTCCTTTTTTTTAAAAACATTTTAGAGCCTTTTGTTTGTAATGAAAAGATTCTACAGACATACCCCCCTCCCACCCACATCACTGCATGCCAGGTTTCTGTCCAATAGAAAAATAAAGAGGCAGAGACCTGCCTAGATGAACAAATCGCTTTACAAAATGTATAATTTACAGCAGTAAACCTATATTTACTAAAAAAAAAAAACAAAGTTTAAAGAACAGACGTTAAAAGGAAACAGCTTCTTACAACTTCCAGGATGGAAGGGTGATCCAAAATTAGACAAGGCATGCTAACAGAATAAAACAAGAGGTTTTTTTTTGTTTTGTTTTGTTAAGAAAAAGCACCAGACTCTAAATATTGCTGTGAAAACAGTATAGTTATAGGAATACACTCAAATGGTCCATGGGCAGGACTGCAAGATTTCCCTTTTCTTTAAGTCTGTATCTAGGTAGTATTTATAGAGATTCAACTTGTGTTTTTTCCGCACTAATCCCTTCTTGGAAGGTAACCATTAAGCAAAGCTATGTCTGAGGAGCTTTAGGTGCTGTTCTCTTCCTTTTCACCAGCATCACCTGTAAATGTGGATGTCCTTGCACCGGCCAATCCGATCGCACCACTCCTGAGCTTTGGCTTCCATCACCGGGTTTAAGTCGTTGTCGTAGAACACGACGGTGTCGGCTTCCACCAGGTTGACGCCCGTGGAGCGGCTGTGGGAGGAGAGGATGGCGCAGAAGAGACGTTTGTCTCGGTTGAAGGTTTTCATCAGCTCCTGATGGGGAGTAAAAGACACACTAGTTGCCAAAAGCTCACAAGATGATGTACAGATATACCGAAATACAGGATCTGCCCCATTCTTATTGGCTGAAAGCTAAACCTGGCAGGATCTGCCCAATGAAGCAGGCAGATACCCATGTTTTATGACAGGGGTGTCAAACTCAAGATGTGAGATCTGGTACGCGGCTGTTGTGGCCCGTACGCGGCCTGTGCAGCTAGTAGCTGATTAGACGAGAGGAGGCTGGTGTGGTGCTGCGCCAGCAGCCTGTGCAGCTGGCACCCGAGTCGGACAGTGAGGAGGCTGGAGAAGATGTGGTGCCAGAGGTGGGGATTCAGCCAGGCCTTCAGAACCTCCAGAAGCTCCTTTAAGTGAAGAGGACAGAGAGGAGGAGCCTCTTCTCAATGCACGGGCGCACAGAGCTGCCAAAAGGCAGGAATGGCTCCTCAGGAGGAGGTCTCCTCAAGAGTAAGGCTTGGGGCTAATTGGCCACTCCCTTAGCCTATTCAAGGAGGAACACGACTGAAGCAATTTGCAGGGAACAACTTCGTTCACATATCTTCGTGTCTTGTCTTGCTTATCTTATCGGCTTCCTGCAAATTGCTTCTGGGCATTCTGCCAACCACAGTAAGCTTTCAGTATTATTCTTTGAATTCTTGGCGGCTGTTAATGCAGTTAATTAACAGCCGTTGTTTTAAAAAACTGGTTTATTTAGTAAACTAAGGTTTGAACGGACTTTGTGTGTGCTGCGTTCTTTGGGGTCCATAGCTGGGGCAGAACAGCGGCATGCTTAGATCTGGTCCGTTGGGCCGCCTGGAAACAGCGAAGGACCAGACCGTGGTGCCTCTACCAGCGAAAAAATGGAGCTCGGAAGGGCTGGCAGGGGGTGTTGCAGGAGGCCATCCCAGCTGAAAACGGAGCTCGGGAGCCCATTTTCGCTGGCAGAGTACTCAGGCCGCCACAGGCGCCCCTGACACGAGTGATGTGGAGCTGGCCACGCTCACCCACCCACCCACCCAAGGTGAAATACAACCCTGATGCGGCCCTCAATGAAATCCGGTCTGACACCCCCGTTTTATGAGGGTCTGTGGCAGGTTTTGGACACAAACTAAAACCTATGATGGACAGCTTGAAAGGAACTGGGTATGTCAGTGATGTCTAACCTTTTTGCCATCGCGTGCCAAAAGCGGGTGGAACGCGGGGCGTCACGCGCATGTGCCCACACCCATAATTCTATGTGCCCTGCCCCCCCGCATCTGCGCGCGCCCCCTCCCCCGCCCCCTTCCCGCTTTTGGCACATGATGGCACGATGGGCCCAGTAGACCCATTTTTCGCCCTCCCCAGGCTCCAGAAGCTTTCTAGGAGCCTGGGGAGGGTGGGTGAAAACGACCTTCCCCACCCCCCTAGAGACCCGATGAAGGCCAGAAATGGCCTGTTTGCTGACTTCCGGTGGGACCAGAAGGCCTGTTTATTGCTCTCCCCAGGCTCCAGAGCCTTTCTAGGAGCCTGGGGATGGTGGAAACGGGACCCCCCCCCCCAGCGACCCTCCAGAGGCTGGAAACAGCGTGTTTCCCGACTTCTGGTGGGCCCAGAAGGCCCGAAAATCAGCTGGCCGGTGCACACATGTGCGTCGGAGCTGAGCTCGCATGTCCACCGATACGGCTCCGTATGCCACCTGTGGCACGCGTGCCATAGGTTTGCCATCACGGGGGTATGTCTAAAAGTCTAAGGAAGAGAAGGACTAAGGGTGACATGAGAACAGTCTTCCACTATTTGGGGGGCTGTCCCAAGGGAAGAGGGGATCGACCTATTTTCCAAAGCGCCAGAGGGCAGGACAAGAAGCCATGGATGGAAACTAATCAAGGAGAGAAGCAACCTGGAACGAAGGAGAAATTTTCTGACAGTGAGGACAATTAATCAGTGGAACTCTCTAGAAGTTGTGGGTGCTCCATCACTGGAGGATTTCAAGAAGAGATTGGACAGCCGTGTGTCCAGAATGGTATAGGGCAGTGATGGCTAACCTTTTTGCCATTGCGTGCCAGAAGCGGGGGGTGGGGGGAATTGCAGGTGTGTGCGCGCACGTTCTCACACCCATAATTTAATCCCCCCGCACCCTGCCTCCCTGCGCATGCACGTGTGACACCCCCTTTCCCGTGCCCCATTTTGGGCCTAGCAGGCCTCCCTGAAGCCTCCGGAGGCCGGAAACAGCCCGTTTCCCGACTTCTGGTGCAACCGAAAGGCCTGTTTTTTGGCCTCCCCAGGCTCCAGAAGCTTTCTTGGAACCTGGGAAGGGTGAAAATGGCCTCCTCCAACCCCCGGAGGCCGAAAACTCCCTCCCAGAACCTCCGCGTAAGCTCTTGCGCCCAAAACGGGCACGTGGAGACTCCTGCGGGGGGGAGGGGCAGCCAAAAATCAGCTGGCCGCCGCACACATGTACACTGGAGCTGAACTAGGGCAACGGCTTGCATGCCCGCAGATATGGCTCCACGTGCTACCTGTGGCACGCGTGCCATAGGTTCGCCATCATGAGTATAAGGTCTCTTGCCTGAGCAGGGGGTTGGATTAGAAGACCTCCGAGGTCCCTTCCAACTCGGTTCTTCTGTGATAGACCTGAATGCTTATGTGTGAACTTGCTCACTGGGTGCAAACGGGCTTCCTCCAGCAGTGAGCATGCTTGGGGGGAAGAGTTACAAAAACTCAAATTCTGGAAACAAACAAGACGGACCTGCCGCTCTTCCTGGTTCGCGCACTCATCGATTCTCACGTAGGTGAGGAAATGGAAGTTGAGGAAGCGTTCCAAGATGTCCAGCATGAGCATCATCTGGGACAAGATCAGCACCCTTCGCCCTTCTGACTTGAGCTTTTGGAGCAAGACTGCCAGGGCTTCCAGCTTCCCTGCAATGCAAGAGGAAGAATCAGAGCCGGGAGCGTGAAGTCCCTGCCAGGTGGACGGACAGGTGCAGATCAAGGTGTTTCCTCTACCTGCATCGTACTGGATCAGACGGAGGTCAGGACACGGAAGCAGCAGCCGGGGCATGGTCAGCTCATGAAGCTGGTTCAGGTAAGGCAACATCTTCTCCTTCAAGTTGTGCCGGAGGAGTTTCATTCGGTGGCTGTAAGCAGGGGGAAGCCTCGCCACGTGCAAAGACGGAGGAGCGGCCACAGCAGCGGGCAACGCGCAGAGCGCCCTTGGAAACAAAAGCACAGCCGTGGCAAATGTTCCTGGGTAGGGCCATGTTGTGACCTGCCTGATTTCAAATCCCTTCAACCTTGGAGGCGGGGGGAGGGGAGAGGGAATGGCCAAACCTTCTGGAGTCTGACTATTTATAGTCCAAATTCTGGAGGAGAGAGGAGGAGAGGGAGGAGGACGAAGAGGAGGAGGAGGAGAAGGAGAAGGAGGAGAGGGAGGAGGAGGAGGAGAAGAAGAGGAGAAGAAGAAGGAGAAGAGGAAGAGGAGGAGGAGGAGAAGAAGGAGGAGGAGAGAAGGAGGAGGAGAAGAGAAGGAGAGGGAGGAGGAGGAGGAGGAGGAGGAGGAGGAGGAGGAGGAGAAAAGGAGGAAGATGAAGGAGGAGGATGGCACTTCGAGCTGGAGATGAGCTCAAAGCTCAGCTGGATAATTCCCAACTCTGAATGAGATACTACAACTAGACACTACACAGGCAGGTCAAGAGTTCAGCAACATCTGGAAGGTTGAAGCTCCCCATCCTCCTCTAGAAATACCTTGCTGGTTGAAGAGGAACGGACGAAGGAGCGGGTGCATTTTTGGTACCTTACGACTGTAAGGATGGCCAAGAAATATGCAGCTCTTTAGGAGCAAAGAATGGGAGAAAATATACCCAGCCTTCCAACTACGATCATCTAGGCTCAAATTAATTACCTCAGGAGCCCGTAAAGATTAACTAGATCAGGGGTCTCCAACCTTGGCAACTTTAAGAGGTGTGGGCTTCTGGGAGTTGAAGTCCACACGTCTTCAAGTTGCCAAGTGTGGAGACCCCTGAACTAGACAACCTCCTGGGCTATTCCACAAATGCCCTTTGATAAGACTTGAGCCAAGGATGGAGCTTGGAGTCACCTGTCGACGGTGTCCCTCAAGGATTGCTGCTGCTGTTCGAGCTGCTGGGTCAACCCTCCGAGAGGGTCTTGATGATCTTTGGAGAGACCGCAGTTTACAAAGCCAGCCCAGCTCCATTTCCTGGTTCTGCCGGAGAACTGAGGCTTTGTGTTGGAGTTGCCCACCAGGGAGCAAATCCTACGAAGGTCCTTGCCGTAGACGGGAGCTCTGGAGCAATGCCGCTCGTTGCAAGAAAATATCCTGTCCAAGCGTTCCTTCAGGAGCCTGTTTTTCTCCTCGAACGACTCCTTTGTAGAAGACAAAAACAAAAACAAAAACAAGAACACCCAGAGCTGTTGCAGAGATCATTAATTCTCTAAAATTATCTACAGCTACCTGCTGGTACGTAATTGCAAATGTGTTTTTTTTAAATCCAAATAAGGATATCTCAGGTGGCATTCTATGTACAGTTGCAAGTTTCCAATCCTAGAGGAAGGTTACGTTTTGGGTTTTCAGAGACTATAATTGCATTGATTCTTCCTCCCATTTTCAACGTGGGGTGGGGGGCTGTCTTCATAGTATTTTCTATAATTTGCTTGTTTAATAATAATAATAATAATAATAATAATAATAATAATAATAATAATAATCAGGAGGAGGAGGAGGAGGAGGAGGAGGAGGAGGAGGGAGGAGGAGGAGAAGAGAAGAAGAAGAAGAAAGAAGAAAAGAAGAAGAAAGAAGAAGAAGAAGAAGAAGAAGAAGAAGAAGAAGAAAGAAGAAGAAACAACAGTGATACCCATTGTCATCGGGACACTTGGTATCATGTCCAAGAATTTTATAACATACATCAGCAAATTACAGCTTCCTGCAATAACACCAGTGGAACTGCAAAAAACTGCATTACTTGGAACATCATACATCTTAAGAAGGTGCTTGGTTGATAGCTAGGACGTTGGCAGCAACCCATATCAACCATTAGCACCAGTCAGTGGTATTTGTGATGCATTTTTTGAATGTTCAGTTGACTGAGTTTCATGTTTAATGAATAAAAGGGATAATAACAACAACAACCTAATAATAATATAAAATCACCATCAGTCAATTGAAAAAGTAGTCATTTAAGTCATTTTGTTATGAGATAGATGTCAAATAAATTCAATAAATGAATAAGTTCAGTAAATAAGTAAATAAGTAAAAGATAGATAGATAGATAGATAGATAGATAGATAGATAGATAGATAGATAGATAAATGGAACAGCTTATATTCCTGCCTTGATACTTTTAATATTATTAAACAACATCTGCCTATCCCAGATCCTTAGGAAGGACTCGGTAGGTAGACAAAAATGTCAACTCCAGACTAAACATCTGGCTGTCTATAACTACAACATAATAATTCTAACAAACTTCTTCAAGTGCTGTGATTTGTGCTCATACGATCCTGGTAGTTTTTCTTCTTCTTCTTAAGCCTTGCTTACGCCAAAAATAACTACAAAATGTAGCCTTTTCCCCCACAATTTAAAATATGCAGCTTCATCTCGAAAAAAAGAGGACAAGCCATAATGCCAAAATGAGAATAAAGTTGCGCAAGAGGCGAAGGAAGGAAGGAAGGAAGGAAGGAAGGAAGGAAGGAAGGAAGGAGGGAGGGAGGGAGGGGGGAGGAGGAGAGAAGAAGAAAGAAAGAAAGAAAGAAAGAAAGAAAGAAAGAAAGAAAGAAAGAAAGAAAGAAAGAAAGAAGAAAGAAAGAAAGAAAGAAGACTGTGGGAAGGAAGGAAGGAAGGAAGGAAGGAAGGAAGGAAGGAAGGGGGAGGGAGCGAGAATGTGTTTGTGTGAAAGAGAGAGAGAGAGAAAGAAAAAAAAAGGAAGGAAGGAAGGAAGGAAGGAAGGAAGGAAGGAAGGAAGGAAGGAAGGAAGGAAGGAAGACTGACTGTGGTATGGGGCATATCACATTAGTTCCAAAAGAGATTTGAAAGAGACCTTAATTTTGAGGCTTTGGGGGTTCGCAAATACAAAATAAGTTGCCGTACCTGTGAGTGACCGCCATGAATGCCGGACTTCAGGGACGAAGCAGAATCTCCCGATGCCAAATTAGCCCCCATGGTTCTTCCTGGAAACACAAACTTAAAACCTAAATCAAATGTTTCTATGGCTCAAGCATCCTCTTATAAAATGGCTTCGCCCTCTGAATCAAACAGTGGAGGTCATGGGGTCACATTCACACAGATAGTCCTCCACTTACAACAGTTCCTTTAGCGTCCGTCCGAAGTTACAACACTAAAAAAAAGGGGGCGTTTCTCGTGGTCCTTCACGGTTTCCACGGTCTTAAGTGTCTTGTGACCATTTTTCACACTTCAGACCACTGCAGCAATTCCTGTAGTCGTGTGATCAAAATTCAGACTTTTGGCATATTTCTGACGGTTTGCAACTTCCTGACAACTAAAGTCAATGGGGAAGCCAGATTCACTGAACAGCTGGGTTACGTACCTTACCGCTAAGGCCACACCTGGAATAACTGAAACCAATTTTGGTCACCGTACTACAAAAAAAGATGTTGAGACTTTGGAAAAAGTTCAGAGAAGAGCAACTAAGATGATCAAAGGCCTGGAGACTAAAACATAGGAAGAACGGTTGCAGGTTTGGGTCTGGCTAGTCTAGAGAAAAGAAGGATTAGGGCGACATGATAGCTATATTCCAGTATTTGAGGGGCTGCCACAAAGAAGAGGGGTCAACTTATTCTCCAAAGCACCTGCGGGTAGGACAAGAAACAATGGATGGAAACTAACCAAGGAGAGAAGCAACCTGGAATTGTGGAGAAACTTCCTAACAGTGAGGACAATTAAGATGTGGAACAGAAGTTGCCTTCAGAAATCATGGGTGCTCCATCACTGGAGGTTTTTAAGGAGAGTCAAGACAGTCACTTATCAGAAATGGTATAGAGCAATGATGGCTAACCTTTTTGCCGTCGCGTGCCAAAAGTGGGGGGGAGCCCAGGGTGATGACACGACACACACACACACGTGCGACCCCCACTTTTGGCACGGAATGGCACAGTGGACCCGGTAGGCCCATTTTTTGCCCTCCCCAGCTCCAGAGGCTTTCTTGGAGCCTGGGGAGGGCGAAAACAGCCTTCCCCACCTCCCCGGAGGCCCCCTGGAATCCGGAAACGGCCCGTTTCCCGACTTCCAGTGGGCCAGAAGGCCGAAAATCAGGTGACCGGTGCGCGCATATGCGCTGCAGCTGAGCTAGGGCAACACTCGCATGCCCACAGATATGGGTTCGCGTGCCACCTGTAACACATGTGCCATAGGTTCGCCATCACAGGTATAGATTCTTCTGCTTGAACAGGGAACTGGATTAGAAGACCTCCAAGGTCCCTTCTAACTCATTCCATTCCATTCTTCATTCCAATATTCTATTCTATTCTATTCTATTCTATTCTATTCTATTCTATTCTATTCTATTCTATTCTATTCTATTCTATTCTATTCTATCTCTACTCTACTCTACATGCTATGCTGTTCTACATTCTCTTCTCTTCACAACTGCAGTGATTCATTTAACAACTGTGGCAAGTAAGGGGCTAAAACTCACTTAACAACTGAAATGTTGGGCTCAATGGTGGTCGTACGTCGAGGGCTACCTGTGCTCTGTGCCCCAGCTATCAAGAGCATCCTTGCATTTCACTACTTACTAGTCACCAAGTGCAATTAGAAATATCCGCAGATATTTCTTTCTCGCTAATGGGCACTTACTTGCTGTAGGAAAAAAGCTTTACAAGGGGTATTTAAAATTTAAAAAGTTTAAATGTTCACATTTAAGAATAGAATAGAATAGAATAACAGAGTTGGAAGGGTCCCTGGAAGTCTTCTAGTCCAACCTCCTGCCCAGGCAGGAAACCCTACACCACTTCAGACAAATGGTTATCCAACAACTTCTTAAAAATTTCCAGTGTTGGAGCATTCACAACTTGTGAATGTTCCACTGGTTAATTGTTCTAATTGACAAGAAGTTTCTCCTTAGTTCTAAGTTGCTTCTCTCCTTGATTAGTTTCCACCCATTGCTTCTCCTGCCTTCAGGTGCTTTGAAGAATAGCTTGACTCCCTCTTCTTTGTGGCAGCCCCTGAGATACTGGAAGACTGCTATCATGTCACCTTTCATCCGACTAGACATACCCAATTCCAGCAATCATTCTTCATATGTTTTAGCCTCCAGTCCCCTAATCATCTTGGTTGCTCTTCTCTGCACTCTTTCTAGTCTCCACATCTTTTTTACATCGTGGCGACCAAAACTGGATGCAATATTCCAATTTAAGGTTTGCAAACATTGCTGGCTGCAGTTGCAGTGGCTTCATCGATAATTCCGGTTCGTTGTCCTCTCGTGAATGCTCTGAGGGTCACAGCAATACAGGAATTGGGACAGGTAAGGCGGAAAAATGGACGCAAAGGAAGGCTCCTTACCTGGCTGAGTTCCTGCCGAAGTCTGCAACCCTACCGGATGTTGGTTCCCTAGTGCGTTGAGAGCGTTTTGGACAGTCCCAGGCTGGGGCACCGTCTGCACCACCACAGGACCCTGAGGTCGGAGATATTGGGGTCCCGGAGCCGAAACAATTTGCAGGACACTGCCTGGAAGGGTAGAAATTTGAAGGGAAAGAAAAAGGGACTGACTTTTTCAGGAACTACTGTATTTTTCGGACTATAAGATGCACTTTTTTTGTCTCCTAAAAGAGGGGTGAAAATGTCTGTGCGTCTTATAGGCTGAATATTGCCAAAGCCCTGCCCTCCCGCCAGCCATTTTTTGGCCTCCACACACTCTGTTTTGGGGCCTCTTTTTGGCCTGTTTTAGAGGCTTTTTTCGGCCCGTTTTTTCAGAAAAACGGCCTGAAAAAAGTCTCGAAAACGGCCTGAAAAAAGATTCAAAAACAGGCTGAAAATAGCCTCAAAAACGGCCCGAAAAAAGCCTTGAAAATGGCCCGAAAAAAGCCTCAAACACAGGCTGAAAAAAGCCTCAAAAACAGCCCAAAATTAGCCTCAAAAACGGCCTGAAAAAAGGCTGGAAAAGGGCAGAGAAAAGGCCCGAAAAGGAAAAGTTTACCATCACTGCAACATCCCCACAATCACACAATCAAAATCTGGGCCCTTGGCAACCGACATACATTTAACAATGGCTGCAGCATCTCAGGGATATGCGATCACCTCATGGCGACCTTCCCAGCCCAATTCCGACAAGTGAAGTCAATGGGCGAAGCTGGAATCCCTTTAAGGCCGCATAATTCACTTAAACACTTGTAGGGATTTGCTTTAAACTTCCGTGGCAAAAAAAGGGTCGTAAAACGGAGCAAAACTCCTAGTGCGCACATGCACAGAGCTGCCAGAAGGCAAGAACAGTTAAAACAAAAGGGATGACTCGGGAGTAAGGTCTGAAGATGATTGGCCCCTCCCATAAGGCTTAAAAGAGGAGCAAAGGCACGTGGGCCCTTTGCAGGAAAGCAACGTTGTTAATTCTGTTCCCAGTCGGCATCTCTATTTGATTCTGGACTCCATGTGGCTTTGCCAAGTAGGTCTTTGGCAGCATGTGAAGGGAGATAAAGGTTGGCGATTATCCCGAAGGACTTCTCCCGAAGGACTTTTTGCAACTAATTGGGACTCAGCTGTGAATGAATGTAATTCACAGCTGTTGCAATAAAAGACGTTTTGGGGACTACTCATGTGTTTTAATGACTCAGGAAGCCGAGGTCCCAACACTCCCGAATGGGAATGATCCGGGAGGGTTAGCTTGACAATTTAGAATAGTGTCAGCCCTGAAGCCATTTTCTCCTGGGACCTTCACGGCTGCCACAGTGGAGATGACTCGAGCTGTGGGAACGGGAGGGAGGGTGGAGGTAGAGATAGCTGGGGGATTGTAGCCAAAATAAAATTCTTTCCTTTGAGAACCAAGGACTTCCCCCCCCCTCAGGTGCAAGGAGGTGGAATCGAAGACCAACTGACCCTTGGGCTGTGATCTGATTGGACCATGTGATGGATTGCATGGGCAGGGGAAATAAAACTTTACTTTTAACTTGGGGGAGACCCGAGTAGGGATTTAGAGTGAGGTTTCCCCAGATGTGCCAATATGACATGCCTAATAAATCTATACTTTAGATTTGCCAATATGCCTGCCTTGGAGTTTTGCTTCTGTTGGGTGTGTTACTTGGAACCCTGACAAATAGGATGGCGTAGGAAGCAAAGCTGTTACAGAATCTGGTAGTACTTCTAGAAATACTTTGAAACATCCTCCCAGAGGAGGGCAACAGAAACAGACCATGAAGTGGGTGTGTGGGGTCTCTAACAATGCTTTGAGCTCTAAGCGCTTATAAGCAGTGTCCTGAATAACGGGAAGTGAGCTTCCTATGATCTTCTCCACTGTCCTCACCACTCTCTGTATGGATTTTCTATCTGAGGCACTGCTGCCACCAAATCAAACAGGGATGCAATTGTCCTTAATGTCTACAACCGGAAGACCACGCAAAATTCAAAATAAGTCCCAGGAAGCACGGGAGGATCACCCACCCCAATCGAGAAAAACGCTGAGGATGGGGAAGCTCCCCAGAGGTGTTCTTGTTCTGACCCAGCCTTCGCAGAAGGAAGAAACAGATTCCCCACAAAGAAAAACCCCTCTTTTATTTACACATTGGGAATTAACTGCCTTCACCAACAGAAAGTCCAGACGAGAGTCCTGCAAGAAGTTAACTAAAACAATAGTCCTTATCAGCTTGTTATGATAAATGCAAGGCTGGGAGGCTGCAAATTAAGTCAGTTCAAACAGAGAAATAGACAAACCTCAGTTCTGGCAAAGCAGTCTTTGTCGCCCGAAACACACAAGGAGCAAACTTTCCAGAAATGCGAACGGTTGTCTGCGACAACCAAACCGCTCCCCTTTCCTCCTATTTATTCTCCAGCCAGGGAGGGGCCATTCAGTGTCCACATTTGTTTTGCTTCCTGAGCCATCTCATTGTTGGCTGTTCACCTCTCCTATCTGCTCTGTGCATATGCGCATCTGGAACAGGCCCCAGCTGTTCTTCCTCCCTACTTATCGCTGCCTCCGAAGGCAGCTGGTAAATGTTGGATGGTCCTGGTTCTATCTCTGTGTCCGACGCTGAGCATCCATCAGAGCCTTCCCCAGAAGGCTCCAGAACTGGCCCACGTTCTTCCCCAACCTCCTCATTGTCTGAGCCTGCCGCCGGCTGATGGGCCACAACAGTTCTTCAAAGTTACTCACCTTGCAGCTGTAGAGGCTGTCCTGCGGTCAGCTGGCGGAGTTGGCTGTGAGACAGAGTGAATTTATTCCCCTGGAACTGCAGCGTCACCGGCGTCTCCGGCTGCGTGATCCGGCCCTGTGCCCCTGCAATGGAAGCCAGCTGGGCTATTTTGACCACTTCACCACCTGGGGGAGAGGGGTGGAAGCACCCGTGAAGAAGGGGAGGGCGAGGCAGGTGGGGGGGGGGGCTTCTCCCAGACATTCCCTGGTTTCCTGTCGTGGTGGTTAGTAAAACGGAGGACGTGAACCACATGCAGAGATGGAAGAGAATGCAGAGGTGGGAGCGGAGAGCGGGAGGGAGGGAGGGAGGGGAGGAGGGAAGTGTCATCCAAGAAGTTCCACAGGTACAGCTTTGATACAGGTGTGACGGGCCAATTGCATCAGGCTCACTTTCTTTAAATGCGCAACGGTGGGGTGATTGGGGCAGGCCGAGGGCAGAGATCCTTCCACTTTCACAGGTTAACAAGCGTGACCTGGAAAAAACTCACGTGACACTTCAGAAAAGAGAGAGAAGAAAAGTCCTTAAGGTCGGGGACCTCTACTGCCTTTTCAAAAGCAAACTCTAACACAGCTCAAGAGAGGTAGGAATTAACAATGCACGGGGCACACGGAATAATTGAGCATTAAAAGTATATATAAAGTAGTGGCCAAAATTGTGGAAACCTTTTGAGTAAAAGTGTATTTTTGAGGTTTGATGGCTAATAACACCACTTTTTTTTTTTTGGGGGGGGGAGTTTCAAGATAATCCTATTCCACTGCTGGAATGGCCTGGGAATAGCCCAGACTTTAACCCAATTGAAAATTCTATGGAATCCACTAAAGAAACTTGTTAGTCAGAAGTGACCTAGCAATAAAACCCAGTTAATAGAAGCCATCCTTCCATCTTGGTTTCACATTAGAACAGCTGCAGAACTCAAAGACTTGGTTCACTCCATGGGAAGACGTTGTAAGGCTGTAATTCATACTAAAGGTTACCCAACGAAGTATTCACTGACATGGTGATAATTTTTGTATATCTCATTTTTTCTATGGTGATCATTTTTGTATATCCTTTTTTCTACCTGTTTCACTTTTCTTCTTTATACTGTAACTGCTATTTTAATAGCAAATCCTTCATAAAAGTTATTGCATTACATTCTTGATTAAATTATCTTTCCATGGATATATCATTTTATGGTACTACTCCAAAAAACAAAAGTGGTGTTATTAGCTAGCTTTAGAAAATACACTTTTCCTAAAAGGTTTCCACAATTTTGGCCACTACTGTATATATATTTGAGTGCTTTGCAAATTTTGGGCTTGGAGATCAACGCAAAAGCAGATTCATTGGACTTCCCAATCCCATTTGCAGATGATCCCCAAGGGATTTGATTTCCCCAATTCGTTGGAAACGTCCAATTAGCAATGACGAATATTCTACTGGGGAGGTCGGTAAGCTTCATGCAGTTCTAGCCAAAAGGACTCGGATTCAGCAAATGTATTTTTCAGTGCACAGAAGGTTATCTTGTCACAGAATCCCTCTGATGAAGAATTGAAGGTTTATTGGTTGGAAGTGACAATTTTTTTGGGGGGGGGTGTCCCGCTGCAATGAATGAAACATGAAGTTTTGGCTCTGTTCACACGAAGCGAAACGCTTCTCCGTAAAATCAACTCAGAAAGGGAAAAAGAAAAAAAAAAACAACAGGATTTTTAATGCTTGGAAACCCCTCCAAACGTTAAATCTCCAAAGTTTTGGAGTTGAACGTGGCATGTTGGTTTGACTTTTATAAAGGCAGTGGGTTCCCCCGGGGGGAAACATTAGTACAACAGTGCTTGAGAGTCTCTAAGAGCAAGGTGGGTGACCCTGGCTCCTTTACCACCTCTGGACTTCAACTCCCAGAATCCCTGGCTCAGGAATTCTGGGAGTTGCAGTCCGCAGGTGGTAAAGGGGCCGGAGTCACCCACCATTGCTCCAGATGTGCTAATAGTTCATCTACCATCGGAAATAGACCACCTTAGGCCTGTTCCTAGCCCAGCTTCCCATTCTTCCTTACGGAGCGTGAGATTCCTTCCTGTGAGGTTAGTGTTCTCCAAAAAAAAAAATGAAAGAATTAAATTAGGAGGAAATGTGTGTGTTTTTTTTTTCCTTTCCCAAAATTTAAGTTTCCGAGGAAGGCTGACCAAAAAGAAGAAACATGCAGAAGTGAGATTAAGTTGACACCGCTAATGCGCAGGTAGTCCTTGACTTAACCACAACCACGAAGCCCAAAGTTTACGTGGCTAGGCGAGGCAGTCCTTAAGCGATTCGCACCCCATTTTACAGCCTTTTGTTGTGGCCACATTGGTTAAACTAATCACTTAATGTAGTCATTAAGCGAATCAGGTGGTCGTTAAAACGAATCTGGCTGCCCCGGTCGACCTTGCTCATCCGGAAACCGCCTGGAAAGGTTTCCAGTGGAAATCACGTGACTCTTGGATAGTGCAACTGTCGCACGTCCATGCCAGTTGCCGAGATTTTCACATGGGAGATGCTGAAAGTGTTTTGAATGTGCCGTTAACTTCAGACTGTCACTAACGAAAGGGTTTTAAGTCAAGGACTACCTGTGTGTTCACATCAATTTTCGGAGCCTTTCCCCACCCCTTATCTAAACACCGCTTCACTGTGCTTTTACAGCCCTCTCTAAGCGGTTTACAGAGTCAGCCTCTTGCCCTCCAACCATCTGAATCCTCGTTTTACCCACCTCGGAAGGATGGAAAGGCTGAGTCAACCTTGAGCCTGGCGAGACTCGAACTGCCGAACTGCAGGCAGCCGGCAGTCGGCAGAAGTAACCCTGCACTACTGCATTCTAACCACTGCGCCACCGTGGCTCTTGTGTTGCACTTAAAAAAAAACAACCCCAAAGCTTTTTGTTCCCCAAATAAGCAAAGTAAAACGGTGAGCAAAGCAAACTCCAAAGGGGAGGAGAATGGAAAGGGAAGGAGCAAACCGAGCCCCCGTCCAAATATCTCTCCTATATCTATATGCGTATCCCTGCACACATTGTTAGGGTGCCTAATAACTTAACCTCAGGGAAGCTTTGGAAAAGAGGAGGAGGAGGAGGAGGGAGGAGGAGGAGGAAGAGGAGGAGGAGGAGGAGGCTGGAGAAACCTAGGAAGCAGGGCAGAGGGGCACTTACTGGGTAACCGAGCCTGTGCCTGACTGGTTAACAGGAGCCTCTGAGGCAGGACACTCTGTTGGATGGTGGGTGGGGGGGCCTGTGGCTGGGCCTGCCCTAGCTGGAGGCCCGGGGCGGTAGCCTGGCCCCGCAGTTTCACTGGATGGGCCGGGCTAGTTGCGTTGGCGAAGGTCATTGCTGGCTGATGTCTTGGAGGAGGAAGAGGAAGAGGAGGAGGAGGAGGAACACTGGAGGAAGACTGCAATTGTGATGGCGCTGCGGTGGCAGCCGAGGAGACGGCAACGGCGGCTGCAATCAATAAGGTCAGGGGGTATAAGCGGTTAGAGTCGGTCCTTTTTGTTCCCCCTTTCGAGCAACGGAGAAATTTCAGCGGTCACAAGTTTTAAACGTCTGGGGGGAGGGGAGGTGGGGGGGGAACTGAGTACAGACAGGTTGCCTTTAAAAAAAAAAAAAAAAGCAAGGAAAATCCAGTCATTTGGGAGCCTTAAATGAGTGGCGCGGTTGGCCTAGAGGTGGAGCTCTAGCCTTGCAATCGGGAGGCTGTGAATTCGATCCTAGGTAGAGGCAGGTATTTCTCTCTCGGGACACACCGAGAATATATCTGCTGAATATAATTCCACACTGGCAACAGGAAAGGCATCCGGCCATTAAAACACTCTGCCAGCTCCATTCAGTTGCCCAGACTCCACCCCGCAGGGGATTATGGGGTCGTTAAAATGAAGATGACTTGGGAGCCTTAAATCAAGGCGCTGAAAGCGACTCTATGCTCGAATTCAGCTTCACGGCGGCCGCGCACGTAAACACACATGCACAAACACACGGGAACACAACTTTGGGGAGGAGCAGGGGAGAGGGGAGAGTTCAGGTGGGTTTGCCAGCTCTTCGCTTCAAAAGCTTGGAAGGCTTTCCAACATGAAACTTTATCAAAGGAGAGCCGGGGTGGTATAAAGAGAGCCAGGTTGGTTAAGGTGCCGGGCTAGAAAGCGGGAGACGGTGAGTTCTAGTTCTTCCCTTTGGCAAGAAAACCAGGTGGGTGACCTTAAGCCAGTCTCTCTCTCTGTCTCTCTGTCTGTCCACAGTTTTTTTTTCATTTATCTCTCTATTTCTCTATCTCTCTCTCTATCCATCCATACATCCAATATCTCTCTATTTATCATCTATCATCTATCTCTCCCTCCCTCCTTCTCCCCCTCCCTCTCTCCCTCCCTCCCTCCCTCCCTCTCTCTCTCAGGGTTGTTGTTGTGGGGAAAAGAGGAGGAGGGAAAAAAAGATGTTGGATACATTTGCCGCCTTGAGTAATTTGTAAAAATAATAGTGGTGGGATACAAACAAACAAACAAACAAACAAATAAATAAGTAGGGGTGCCCTGAAGAAGCAGCTTCATCGTCCTAACCACTCACTGAATTTGAGACCAAACAAAGACACAAACACACACACACAGTCTAAACATACTGCTGGAAATGTTCACTTTCAGCTCAAGCTGAAACATTAAAAAAAAAAAAGGATGATGAAAACACAGGTAAGAGGAGGCTTGCTTGAATGCTTTGATACTTTCCATTCCAGATTTTCGAACAAAGCACAATTAAGTCACTCTGAGGACGAGCCAAAATGAGGTTAGTGAACAGGCTGGGATTGACTTCATTAAAACCAAGCTTGGGATGCAGAATTTTAAGCATTTAAGCCCCAAGTCGCTTGCCTGGACCATCTCCACAGAAAGAGCATGACAATTGGCTGTCGTTCATTTTTTTATTCCCTTTGATTCAAAATTTTAAATCAAAAGGGGGGAAAAAATGGACGGGGTAGGAGAGTTTAAAAATCAGCTCTTCAGAGTTAAATCCATCAAAATGAAATCTGCCTTAGTGTCACTTGATGGTGGTGATGAGCGGTGTATAAATTGAACAAATGAAATAAAAATGTCTGGAAATGTCTCGGCCCAAGGGAATTGAACAACAGCATCCTGCCTTGAAGTTCAGGAAGTTGCCCACCAAAACCTAGGAGAGCACCTTATACGTTGAAGAACCACAGAATTGGGTTCACAATTTGCAGAACCGCCTCAGAATTGAGCTTCCAAAGGCCAGCTCAGGACGCATTCAAGAGAAACCATTGAATGCAGCTCAAGCCAGGTGAGAAGGTCAGCTAAAAGACCTGGGAATCCTTCATCAAAAATCCCAAGTGGACAACTCAACATCTGTAAAACCCAGCCTGGCCTGAGATCCACATCTGGAAATGCTGGTTCAAGAAAATATGATTAGGCGGATCTACCCAATCCGTGCCCTCCAGTAGGATGACTGACTTCAGCTTCCTCAACTTTGATTTCATCCAGGGCTGGTAATGATGGTTGTGGTGAACCTCAATAGATCAGGAAGACACCAGGTTGAGGAAGGCTGGTTTAATTCCAAGGACTGGTTCGTCACGGGGGAGGGAGGGTGAGAGGATGAGCATGAAAGGGGAACCCACCCACCCACCTTTGTTGATGAGGAAGGAAACCCGAGAAGAATCAACTTTCTCACCTTGATTGGCAGACACCGTCGTCATGGGAGATCTTCCACGCACTTGGGTCTGTTGGGCAACCGTAGCCACACTGGTGGCCCGCTGCACTTGAGCGCTAGGAAAGGTGACCATCTTGCCTTCAGGTTTTTGTCCGTATTGAACAGGTTGAAACAATCTGGGGAAAAAAAGAAACCCCAACAATGGTTCGGTGCTATGATGATTTCCCACACAGTACTCTTGGAGTCATCAGCAAAGGAAAAAAGACCACCAAGCAAAATGTATTTCAGAGACTTCTTTCGGCCATATTTTAAAATTGAGGAAAACTCTGCTCAAGGAAGAGAAGGATTTGGGGGTTCTCCTGTCTTAAGCCAAAGGCACGCTCCAGCATCCTTTTTAATGGCTCAAGATCCAGATGGATCTTGACAGGCTAGAACCCGGGGCCCTCTCTCACAAAATGAAATTCAATGTAGGGAAAAGTAAAGGCAAGAAAAACCAAAAGTACACATAGAGACCGGGTGAAACCAGGCTTAATAGCAGCAACTGTGAGAGGGATCTTGGAGTCTTAGTGGACAACCAATTTAATATGAGTCAACAGTGTGCGGCGGCAGCCAAAAAAGCCAACACAATCCTAAATTGCATTAACAGAGGGAAACAATCAAGATCAAGGGAGGTACTAATACCAGTCTATAAAGCCTTAGTAAGACCACACCTAGAATACTGCATCCAGTTTTGGTCACCACACTATAAAAAAGACGTTGAGACTCTAGAAAGAGTGCAGAGAAGAGCAACCAAGATGATGAGGGGACTGGAGACTAAAACATATTTCAGACATATTTTAAAATTGAGGAAAACTCTCTGCTCAAGGAAGAGAAGGATTTTGGGGTTCTCCTGTCTTAAGCCAAAGGCACACTCCAGCATCCTTTTTAATGGCTCTAACGGTTGCAGGAACTGGGCATGGCTAATCTAGTGAAGAGAAGGACCAGAGGAGACAGGATAGCAGTCTTCCAATATTTGAGGGGCTGCCACAGAGAGGAGGAGGGGGTCAGGCTATCTTCCAAAGCACCTGAAGGCCAGAGAAGGAACAATGAATGGAAACTGATCAAGAAGAGATTCAACCTAGAAATAAGGAGGAATTTTCTGACAGTGAGAGCAATCAACCGATGGAACAGAAGTTGCCTTCGGAAGTTGTGGGAGCTTCATCCCTGGAAGCTTTCAAGAAGAGACTGGACTGCCATATGTCAGAAATGGTGCAGGGTCTCCTGCTTGGGTGGGGGGGTTGGACTAGATGACCTACAAGGTCCATTTCCAACTCTGTTAAGCTGTTAATGATCTTAGCATGGGAGGGGAGTCAAATATTTAGGGGATGGGTATGCCCTAACCCAGCAGCCTCCAACCTTTTGAGCACCAGGGACTGGTTCTGTGGAGAGTTTTCTTTTTTTCCACGGACTGGAGGGGGCGTAATTTTGCATGCTGCCTGTATCCCATGGATGGGGCTTCGCTTGTTTGTATCGGCCTCTTTTTTGGCGTGCCGTGGCTCGGTGCTGGTTCACAGATCAGGAGTTGGGAACCTCTGCCCTAACCCTTGGAGATGCTTTAAGCTCCCTCCCTCCCTCCTTCCTTTCTTCAAATGCTTGAACGCCATTCTGAAATTGAGACCCATGCTTGCGACTGTGAGCATCTCTTCTGACCTAGGCTGACCCCAGCAGCACGAAGCCAAGTCCTCGTCCTGATAAAACCCCTTTTATTTAATTGACAGTGAATTCCTCTCCAGCAAAGTCTTTCCTCTCCCACAGTCTTTCAAGATAGTTCACCATTACCGACCTTTATCAGGCTTGGAGAGTGGCCAGGCCGATATCTTTCAGAGGCCACAATACGTGGCAAGAATGCAGGAATGAACTAATTGTCTCCTGCAAACTCCACTCCCCTTTCGCTCCTCTTTTATTCCCTCTGGGAGGGGCCATTCATCGGCCAACTGTGGCCTTACTCCTGAGTCGACCCTTGTTCTTTAGCTGTTCTCTTCATCTGGCAACTCTGCACATGCGCACAGTGGGAACAGGCTCCAGCTGTTCGTCTGCCTCACTGATGTCTGACTTCGAAGGCAGCCGATAACTGTCAGACGGCCCTGGCCCCCTCTCTGCCTCCGACACAGAGACCTCATCAGAGCCCTCCCCAGACTCCAGGACTGGCCCATGTTCCTCCCAAACCTCCTCACTGTCCGAGTCTGCTGCCATATCCGCTGGCGAGCCACAACAGCATCAACATGCCACACAAAACTGAACAGGGACAACAGTCCAATCAACATTACCATTGGCTGAAAAGGGGGCGGTGATGTTATGGAAGCCTGGGTGCTGCTTACCTGTTGGGCTTCAGCTTGACGGGAGGCGGCCTGGGAGGCGGCAGGGGAGAGGTGTAAATCTCTTCGATAAGCTTCCGTGTTATTTTTTGCTTGGGCACCACCTGGGATTCATACCGCGTCATTTTCTTCTCGAGCCCGATCAGGTCAAAGAGACTCAGGTCTGCAACCTAGAGGATGGCCAAGAGGGAAGAAAGCGTATCTTGGGTACCTGTTATGATCTGATTTAGTCCCTTTATTTAGTAGACTGATGATCTTACCTAGTTGGGTCACGAAAGGGCTGCAAGAAAACAACCAAGCTCAGAGAGCATCAAGGACCCCACAATCATTGTCCCCTGCCTCCTCTTGTCTCCTCCTCCTCTACTCTGCAAACCCCATTCTTTTCTAGCACTGATGATGCTACCTAGTTGGGTCGTGAAACGTCTGACCTCCTCCTCCTCATCACCTCTACAAACCTCACTCTCTTCTAGCACTAATGATGTTACTTAAGTTTGGTAATGAAAGGTCTGCAAGAAAACAACCAAGCTCAAAGAGCATCAATTCTTTTCTTCCTCCTCCCGTCTTCTCCTCCTCCTCCACTCTGCAAATCCCATTTCTTTCTAGCACTGATGATGCTACCTAGTTGGGTTATGAAATGTTTGCAAGAAAACCACCGAGCTCAGAGAGCAACAAGGACCCAACAGTTCAACCTTGAGTTGCAAAGGTTCTTTTCTATCATTAGTCCATTTCATCTCTCTCTCTCTCTCTCTCTATCAATCTCTCTCTCTCACACACTCACACACACACACACAATTATATTGTGGAGTCCTTGGTTGCACCTTGGAGCAGAAAAGTAAAATTAGAAATGAGAAGTCGAAAGGATTTTCACTCTTCTATCATTAGTCCATTTCATCTTCCCATCTCTCTCTCTCTCTCTCTCTCTCTCTCTCTCTCTCTCTCTCTCTCTACACACACACACACACACACACACACACACACACACACACACACACACATATACACACACACATACATTGTGGAGTCCTTGGTCACACCTTGGGGCAAAAGAATAAAATCAGAAATAAGAAGTCAGAAAGGTTCTCCCTCTTCCTCACCCAACAGGGCACCTTGCGAGTCCAACGCTTCAACTCACCTTCCACAGGCTGGTCTCTAAGGCTTTTAACGCCAGCGAGGCGGTCGAGAACTGCAAGGCCTCCGAAACGTAAGAGGAGCTGCATAGCCGAGGGTTGATCAGATCCGGGTGGTTGCAGATCTTCTGCAGCTGCATCAAGACGTGAAGAACGCTGACGAAGTGCCCGCTTTTCACAGCGTCTTGGGTCCTGCCGAGGGAGAAGAAATCAGAGGCTTAAGCTATTTTCCAAGGCGCCCGAAGGCCAGACAAGGAATAAGGGATGGAAACTGAACAAGGAGAGATTCAACCTGGAAATAGGGAGGAATTTTCTGACAGTAAGAACAATCGATTGATGGAACAGAAGTTGCCTTCAGAAGTTGTGGGAGCTTCATCCCTGGAAGCTTTCAAGAAGAGACTGGACTGCCATCTGTCAGAAATGGTGTGTAGGGTCTCCTGCTTGGGTGGAGGGTTGGAGTAGATGACCTACAAGGCCCCTTCCAATTCTGGTAATATGAATCTATCTAAGATGATCAAAGGTCTGGAGACTAAAACATACGATGAACGGTTGCAGGAACTAGGACTGGCTAGTCTAGTGAAGAGAAGGACCAGGGGAGACAGGAGAGGAGTCTTCCAATACTGGAGGGGCTGCCACAGAGAGGAGGAAGGGGGTCAAGCTATTTTCCAAAGCACCTCAAGGACAGACAAGGAACAATGGATGGAAACTGACCAAGGAGAGATTCAATCTCGAAATAAGGAGAAATTTTCTGACAATAAGAACAATCAACCGATGGAACAGAAGTTGCCTTCAGAAGTTGTGGGAGCTTCATCATTGGAAGCTTTGAAGAAGAGACTGGACTGCCATCTGTCAGAAATGGCGTAGGGTCTCCTGGACTAGATGACCTACAAGGTCCATTTCTAACTCCATTAATCTTTTTCTGTATCTGAGTGTGACCTCCATGAGACTTCACGTTAGTTGTACTTGCAGACCTTGACTTACGATGAGTCGGTTAGTGACCATTTGAAATCCTGACAACCTCCACCACCCCCCAAAAAATTACTGGGTTTTGAAGTTCTGACGGCCACCATTCTTCCTATGTCTATGAATATTCTCAGTCCTCCAGGTCGTGGTTGTCCCAAAGGTGCTTTTCCAAGAGGCAACTGGACTTTCTTGTTTTTTTCTTTGAAGATGTTTTGCTTCTCATCCAAGAAGCTTCTTCAGCTCTGCCTGGCCACTCTTTGGAAGACAGCCAAGTCCACATCTTGGACAGAGAGGACCCCTGGTTTGAAAGGGGTCAAAAAGGCCATCTATGTCAAAACTGAACAGCCCTCTCTCAACAGATACGACATCGTCTCATCTCCAGTCTACAACACAGTCCTTTCAGCAGTTCCGAGAAGGCTCCACACCAGTGGTGAAATCTGAACTGGTTTGCTACCAGTTCGCTGGCCGTGCATGCACGCTGCAAACGCATGCGCACCAAACACACACTGCACATTTGAAAAGCTACTGGTTCAGTCAAACTGGTAGTTAGCTACCGGTTCGGTTGAATCGGTAGTTAAAAAAAGCTACGACCCGATGATCAGCTGTGCTGCACGGTTTAGCTTTGCTAGAAAGCAGGATTTCATTTGCATCCTTTTAGAGGGTGGTTATGGTCACCGGGAGATTTATCTGTGTCATCAGGAGGGATATGACCATCATCATCTATCTCCAATCTACAACACAGTCCTTTTGTCAGGTTTCGTTGCTATCTTAAATAAACTTCATTCTCAAACGCCAGGTCTCTAATGAATCTTTTCTTTTTATTTAAGAATAGAAAAACGACATCCCTGAACTCTTTGTGGAGCCAAAACTGGCCCCTCCTTCCAACACCCTCCCTTTCCGTTCTTCAACCCCAATGTCTCATTGGCCATCATGCAGATCCATCTCTTCGTCCCAAGCACGTTCTTTTCACAGGAATTTCCCCCCTCCCTCTGTCACCCAGGTAACATTATCTACTAAAAGCAGGAAACTAGGTAAAAGTTCATCTCAGCATTAAAGCAAAGCTTCTCCCTCTTTCATTCATTTCATTCATGTCAGCGCTGGAGGAGAGCATAATTTGGAACGCTGACACCTTTCAGCAGTTCCAAGAAGGCTCCACACCCATTGGCACCACTCAGGTGACCCTGAGGACACAGATAAACCTCCAAGTGGCCTCAAGGACCCTCTAAAAGGATGCAAATGACCAGCTGTCTGCAAGGAGTATAAATCCTTCCATTCCCCATCATCCAAGTCAGAGCTGAAGAAGCTTCTGGGATGAGAAACGAAATGTCTTCAAAGAAAAAACAAGAAATCCAGTTGCCTCTTGAAAAAATAACACCTTTGGGACAACCATGACCTGGATGACATAAAAGTCATTTTTTTCCCCCAGTGCCGTTGTAACTTTAAACGGTCACTAAACAAATGGTTGTAAGTCAACGACCACCTGTATGGTTGTGAGTCAAACAGTACCTGCATTTGCCCTTTCTGGGGGATCATGTTAATTATTAAGGATTCATTAATGAATTTTTAATGGTTTAACACAGGGGTCTCCAACCTTGTGTTCTGCCCCAGCTACGGACCCCAAAGAACGCAGCACACACAAAGTCTGTACAAACCTTAGTTTACTAAATTAAATCAGTTTTTTTTTCAAGGCTGTTAATTAACTTTCTTAACAGCCTACAAGAATCCAAAGAATAAATAATTGTAATCTTACTATGGTTGGCAGAAAGCCCAGAAGCAATTTGCAGAGAACTAAGATCAAGGCACGAAGGAGAGTGAAGGAAGTTGTTCCCTGCAAATTGCTTCAGTCGGCGTTCCTCCTTAAATAGGCTAAGGAAGTGGCCAATTAGCCCCAAGCCTTACTCTCGAGGAGACATCCTCTTGAGGAGCCACTCCTGCCTTTTGGCAGCTCTGCATGCCCGTGCATCGAGAAAAGGCTCCTCCTCTTCGTCCTCTTCACCCATGGAAGCTTCTGGAGGTTCTGAAGGCCCTGGCTGAATCCCCGCCTCTGGCACCACATCTTCTCCAGCCTCCTCATTGTCCGACTCGAGCGCCATCTGCACAGGCTGCTAGCACAGCACCACACCAGCCTCCTCGCTGTCAGAATCAGCTACTAACTGCACAGGCCACGTATGGGCCACAGCACCTTGGCAACTTTTAAGACTTGTGGACTTCAACTCCCAGAGTTCCTCAGCCAGCTTTGCTTTGCTGGCTGAGGAATTCTGGGAGCTTTGCTGGCTGAAGAACTCTGGGAGTTGAAGTTCACAAGTCTTAAAAGTTGCCAAAGTTGAAGACCCCTGCTTTAAAGTTCAACTCAGAAACACCTACTCGGGCTGGAGAATGACGTCTTCGTACATCATTTTCTGTCGGTTGGAAAGCCGGCACTTGAGCACGTGTTCGTACTTCTTCGTCAGCTGCTTCTCCACGTCCCTTTTCGATCTGCGCAAGATGAACGGCTGGATCATCTGCGGAAGAGAGAGAGAGAGGTGGAAGGGAGGCAGAGAGAGAGAGAGAAGGGAGGAAGCGGCGATGAATATTCAGACGTTCAAAAGTAACGATGGGAAATATCACTTCGCAGAAAAGAGTAGCGGAAGCGTGGATCCAACTTTCAGCGATGGGAGGGAGTCACTCATTAGGAAATGAAGCTTAAACCTGCTTGGGGTAAACAGCCATTCATCGCCTGGTCAAAAAAATTAAATAAAAATTAATTAAAATATTAATTAAAAGAGAAAGAGAAAAGAAAAGAAAAGAAATGAGGGAAGGAAGAAGGGAGGAAAGGAAGGAAAGAAGGAAGGAAGGAAGGAAGGAAGGAAGGAAGGAAGGAAGGAAGGAA